ACACCTGTGGTTGTCAAACTTGCGTCTTGGCCGCTTGACCACGATGCTTATGTTCTAGCGTGCGAATTAACGACCATATTTTGCGTGGATAATGCAAAACAAAACCGCATATAACACGAAAACACGCATTTTCCCAGACATAAAACTAATCTAGATCGATTTATTGCCTATTCATGAAAATCGTTGGAGCCGTTTCCGAAATTTAGATTATATACATATATATAAATATATATACAAGAATTGCTCGTTTAAATATATTAGATTAGCACCTCGAAATAACTTTTACAATTATCTTCTATACATATAATAAAACTGTAACTAAGCTAATTTTAATTGCCAGGTCATACCTAAAATATGTTGTTTGTTTTTCAATAAGGGCGTATATAATATTACACATATCATATTATTTAATATACTTTTGTAGACTGTATGCATGTATGTTATTAAAACTCAACGGACTTCGCATGCTAAGTTAATCAGATGTACGGCACAGAACTGTTGTACATCAACTCACTAAACCCGTAAGTGTTTTTATTTAGTTCATTGACCAGCTACGGCTGTCGCGCAATGCAAACAACGCCTAAGCCCCGATTGTGTGTTATACTATGTCGTCACTGACACCGTGTTTACAGCTTTAACCTGCAGGAGAGGTTCTTCTTAACGCTTGGCCAAATATGTTTTGTTAACTATATTTTATATTGTACTATGGTTTATAATGCAAAATACCGATCAAACTTCGAAACGATCAATTAAATTAAAATATTGTTTCAAAAAAAACCTATACCTACTTGAAATTTTAGTCTATAATGTAGGTATGTACTTTCTTTCTTATCGTGATGTTTGCATATTAAATTTGTCTCTCTGTCTATAACGTTTTAACGGCTAAACCGCTGAACCAACTTTGATGAATTTTGGTATAGAGATAGATGGGACCTTGAAAAATCTTGAAGGGGGTGAAATAGGGGTTACAGGTTTGTACAATTGTTAACGGTGGAAACAAATGGTTTCTCAAAATAAAGATATAAAAAATCTTAAGTATATCTTATACTTTTGGTAAGAAATAAAAAATGTTATGATGCTTTTGACCAATCAAGGTAAAATAGGGGACGATTTCAAGTTTTTTTTAAAGTACTTCCTAATCTTTTATACCTACGTTAACTGTATACTTATATATCTTTTCTATATTGACCGCTGCACTGACAGATTTAGTAAGGAAGAAAGCTTGGATCATAATAAATATGTAGGTAAATGAGTCCGAAACAAATGTATAATCAGAAACTATTTTAAAAAGGGAATTCAGAAAATACTAGTGATGTAACGAATATTCGCGTTCGCGAATATTCGCGTCTTTTCTGACATTCGCATTCGCATTCGTATTCGCAAGAAAAGATGCGAATTGCGAATGCTTGGCGAATGTATTTGACGAACAAAAAGGAAATTATATAAGGAATGAACGGACGAATGAAAATACAACAGTGCTTTACTCATGTTTGTATATCACTTTTTCAATTTGACTAGGTAAAACTTAAATTTGACAAATGCAATAATACTCAACTAACCTCTAACCTAACAAACCCAACGAAATCTATGTAACTATCTTCGTTCATTCAACCTGTATCGGCTCGGCTATGTTCAGTTTAAACATGGTCGACACGAAATGTCAAACCTATCTGTTTGACATTTTGCGCACGCTTTGTTTGAAAACCAACATTCGCATTCGTATTCGCGAATGTGAAAAGTTGAACATTCGTTATATCACTAGAAAATACATATTTCCCGTGTAAATATTTCGCCCCGGCCGAAACGTCTTTAGTCACTTTTGCATTTATTATATTACTTTAGACTTTAGATAATTGTGTTGTTAGGTTATTCGATTGTGTTACAGTGGATCGAGTCTAGGATCGGGCTTATGAGCTATGACCTGGAGTAATACATAGGCGAATAGTAGGAATAATTAAAAGTTGCCTAAAGGTGGTGTTTCCTATATATTCATACTAATATTATGTGTTTGTTTGTTTGTCCTTTTTTCACGTCGAAACGGAGTGACGGATTGGCGTGATTATTTGTGTGGAGGTAGTTGGAGGACTGGAGAGTGACATAGGCTACTTTTTATCGCGGGAAATTATCTCGTTCTCACGGGAAAACACGTTGTAATACAACCCAAAAAATATTTATGATCAGAATTACTTGAAACTTGGTATTAAATATTAATGCTCTTCAATACAATTAAATAAATACGTGTTTTAGCAATTTTCGAAATTCTTCCCACAAACGGGTAAAATAGGGAATGAAAGTTTTGTATGAAACCTACCTTTTTAGTTTATTTGTAGTTTTAGCGCGAGCGAAGCCGCGGATTCTGCTAGTAATATTATAAATACAAAACCCTCCGACCGAAGCGAGGGTAAATCGCTAGTAGGTTATTATTTATAACGATATATGTATACGTAATTAAATTAATACATTAAACACACATAATCAAAATACGAGGGCGCAGCTGCGGGAAAACGCTTCATTTTAAAGCGGTGGCCCCGGGGTAATACCTGGCCTGTGTGGCCTGGCATTGACGCGGACCTTAGGAGAGTTTGCCACAGTTGTAGTATTAGCGCGGAACTATGTCCCGCTTCACTGCAGACAAGAAATTTGCGTTCTCCTTAAGACCGACTTAGAGATGATTTACCACTAGAGAGTAAGATTGTGAAGATTCAAAGACAGCAAGTAAGTAATGGTTACGGCACTCAAAATTCAGAAAATATTACTGTTTGGATAAGAGATTTCGCGGCCTGCGAGAAAAAAAGGCAAAAGACAGAAAAATAGGGTCATGCCCGAATCTTGCGCCTTGGCCGCTTGACTATGATGCTTATGCCCGAGTGTGCAAATTACCGACCATACTTTGCGAAGAAATGCAAAAAAAACTGCATGGAAACTCGAAAACACGCGTTTTCTCAGGCATAACCCGCCTGCCCCCGAAACCCCCTGTATACTAAATTTCATGAAAATCGTTGGAGCAGTTTTCGATACTTGCACAGTAAGGTGCATTAAATTTATTATGATAATTGCATGGAATCTAAAAATTTCTGATTCTTTGGAAATTAGAGCACCATTATATTTCTCATTGTTTGTGCATTGAAGTTAGGTTACTTTATACTTTGTAATGTATGTAGGTATATGGAATAATCCATTTTTTAATTAAATATTTATCTAAGCAGAACTTACTTTTAATACATAAAATATATGCTAGTTTACAAAAATACTCTACTTAAACTAAATAATAAAATGAAACATCAAATTCCCATAATTTTACTGAATATTGTAACATCAGTTACTTCATGGTACTGATTATATTTTATGATGATGATATACAAATGGGGTTTACATTTTATAAGTTGCCTACTATAATAGTATAATATAAGGAAAAATAAAAATTTTGCTAATATCTATAAGAATGTTAAACACACGAAGCAATTTACTTGTATAGGAAGAGCCATCTATAGCTATAAATATAGTGGGTTGTGTTATCTGTGATTCCACTAAGAAACTAATTACATATAATAGAAATTCTTAATTCTTCATGTCACTGATATCAATAAGATCGAACTCTTAACTTATTGAAATTGTCCAAACAAATTAAATAAGCCCAAATTAAAAGGGTTTACTAGTTACCATTAAAAAGTTTTACTATCCAATATGTGTTTTCATTGACAGTTCACTATAATGGTGCCAAACTATTATAGTCCTTGAAACATGAGATATTTGAATAGTTTTAACTTGATACAACAGAAGAAAGCTAAAATGTGATCTATATACAAATCGTCCCAGAACATACTGATCATGATTCAGGAGAAAGGTCCTCTTATGATGAGCCAGTAAAAATCAGCATTCTACACCCAGTAGTACTCGAGTACCAGCCATTTTATTGAAAAATGAAAAATATACTACTCGGAGTAGAATTTTTCGGCAATTGTGAGTAGAGTTTTGAATTGTTTGTAGGTTTTAATGATGTTGCGGCCTTGCAAAAAGCCAAACTAGTTGTTGGGAAATCAAACAAATCCGAAACTAATGTTTCTTTAAAGAAAAATAAGTAAATATCATCGTTAAATGTACTTTAAATTTAGTATCACTTAACTATGACTACTTGTACTAAAACAACAATACACTAAGCCAAGCAGGCAAGTTCCATCAAAAGATGGTCAATTTTATCAAGATTCTAAAGTGCTACATCTTCTGTAATAAAATAATATTTTATTTTATTTTCTGAAAGATGACCCATTTTTATAAATTGTGTCGTCCAAATAAAGGTATAAGAAACAAATGCAGTCATTTGAGGAAAATAAGTTGTAGCAACATTTTTATCGTTAAAATGTATCCTATATGTTGACCCGGATAACCAGCTTTCACCATACCAAATTTCATCAATATCCCTCCCATGGTTTTTCTGTGATGTGGTTACCGACAGACAAAAATTCTAAAAACTATAGATTCTACCTCTGTATTAATAATAATTTTTATTTCAAATAAGATTTTCCGAAAAATATTTAACGTTCAAATTCGGCTTACATACTTACAATTTTATTATATGTATAGATGACATTGTAACTGATGCTGTCTGTACATGGAAGATATTTGATTAATGGGGGGTCTTTATTAATGCAATAGAACCCAAAAAAATGGTTTTAAGTATTTTTGTCTGTTTGTCTGTGCATTTGTGCACATAAATTTCAGAAGTGGCTTAACGAAAGGCTTAAAAAAGACACTGTTGAAGTATATAGAAAATGCCAAAAAAACAGATATCCAAAATACTACTAGGAGTAACATAGATCAAATAGGAATCAGGACAGTAAGCAACATTCCTGTGAAGATCGATACAAGAACTTTCTACTATGATACAAGAACATAAAAATTATTCAGGTAACCTTTATAACCTATGTCCCTTAATAAAAATACAAATCTTATCAGAGTATCTGTAAGTATAATATAAGATTATATTAGTTAATAGCACCTACCTCAAACGATCAACAACAGCTTGACGTTTAGGTGGAAGAATCATTTCTTCCATGGGTTGCAGCATGTTAGGTGGATGTTGGGCGGGCGAGGCGCCGGGCAGCAAGCCACCCGCGCCACCGCCTCCCACCAGGTGCTCCACGGTGACTGTTTAGCACTTTATGTCTGCCCCCTCATTCTCTGTCCCTTACCAAAACCACAATCCAGTATTCAAGTACTACAACGTAATTGTGACAACACTATAAGAAAATAACTGCAGTTCGTCCTGAATACTCTCAGTACATTTTTCATATTGACACTGGATAATATTTAAGACACTATAATACTATTAAGTTTTATCTCACGATAAACAAACGAATACGATTATTTAAAACCTTCGTTTAACACGTATATTGAAATAAATCGATTCAAAACAAAATGTTTTGAAATAGAACAAGTTATGAAGTCACAGCACAATCATTCAGGAAAATATATTATTTTCATGTATTATTCACAAAAACTGAATAGCTTGATAAGTTACAGAATCAATTATTTCAAAATATTTATGTAATGACTAGTTTCTTTTAAAACAAGTCAAAACTTCAGCTTTTTCGTCTTTCAAACACAAAACACAGACAACTACCAAGTGCTCAAACATCAACTGACTGACGGCGACGCTTGCTAGTTGCTTACCAATTTATTTGATTTTTTTTTTCATGCATTAGATACTAAGATTTTAAGACAGATGAATGTTATAACGATAAAGTAATTAATGCTTATAATAACTGTCTAGTATTATATATAATATATACAAAAAATATATACTAATTGTATTTTTCGATAGCCATGTTTTTCATTTACATTCATGTTAATGGTTAAACTATTATTAAACTTAAATCTTTAAATGTCAATACTGAATGTCAAATTTAAAATTGAAGAATGATTGAATAAGTATTGAAACCAGAAAATAAAGTTTATTTAAGAATTAAGAATATTATTTGAAGTCTCCTCATATTAAAAATAAATACTTTACTATCAATATAGTTCCAAATAAAATAATTAAATTATAAAAATATATAAAATGTCAGCGCTTCGTGCTAGACTAGGATATTCTACCGTGCTTGCTAGGAGGTTACTTTATCATTCACAAACTAATTCTAAGATAATTACTTATGCCATAAATTCATCCAAAACCAATGGTTTGTTTTTTAAATGTATTAATTGTCATTTATATTGTCACAAATCTAGTCAAAGTCTTTAAAATTAAGTTCATGATTTCAGTACAAAATTTTAATTTGGCTTCAACTTATTCTACTATCTCGGATCAAAAACCAGAAGATAAATTAAAAAGCAATCCAGAGAGAAAAGAATTTCAGGCAGAAACTCGTATGCTTTTAGACATTGTTGCACGATCTCTGTACTCAGATAAGGAAGTGAGTTTAAGCTTGAATAAAATAATAATATTTTATACATTTATTTTCTATGTACATACTATAACAAATGTTCCAGGTATTTATAAGAGAACTTATTTCCAATGCTAGTGATGCTTTGGAGAAATTTCGATACTTAAGTGTAAGCTCAACACCAGAGTCGCCAAAGTTAGAAAGTGTTGACAGGTCTCTTGAAATTAAGTTAATTACAGACAAACAAAATAGAACTCTTACTTTTGAGGTAAACTTTGTGAAATTGAAAATATAATTATAAGCAATGTTCATTATTTTAACAAGATATATCTGTATACAGGATTCAGGAATAGGAATGACCAAAGAAGAACTTATACAAAATCTTGGTACAATTGCTCGATCAGGATCAAAGTCATTTATTGAAGAAATTAAGAAACAAGGGGCTGAACAAGCTAGCTCAATTATTGGACAATTTGGTGTTGGTTTCTATTCAGCTTTTATGGTAGCTGATAAAATAGAGGTATTTACAAGAAGTAGTATTGCTGGTTCCCCTGCATATAAATGGAGCTCTGACGGGTAATTGAATTAGAATATATATATGTCATTAGTTAGAATATATGTATGTAGATGTCAAATAAACAAGAGAAATTACTTTTTAGAATTAATCAATAGTAACATAGACAACAAAGCCATAGCTTTTGCATTAGGAAACACTACCTGTGACATATTTATAGGTGGAAACTTTGCTGGTGTGTGAATCTTTTAGTTTGTAATTATTTATAAGGATTATTTTGTATTAGTTTATTTCCAAAAATAAATAAATTTAAAAGGACTTTCTCATAGGATATTCAATAATAAATACACCCTAATATGTAAAACATATTTTTTGAAAGAAAAAAAAAATATTTTAATATTAACAGAATTAAGTTAGAAAATGTATTTGCTCTATTTGCTCTTGTAGGTAGATCTTGTATATTAAATAATATTTATTTATATTTGTTTAAGGTCTGGATCCTATGAAATTCAAGAAATAGATGATGCACCTATTGGAACTAAAATTGTTGTATATTTAAAAACAGACTGCAGAGAATTTGCTGATGATACTACTGTTAAAAGTAAATTACTTATATATTGAGATTATAATATATATTTTATTAGATATACTTAAATTTATTATTTTATTTAATTGTAGATATAATAATGAAGTACAGCAATTTTATTGGCAGCCCTATTTTGTTAAATAATGAGCAAATCAATTCTATTAAGGTAAGTAAACCATATTATATTAATTTTTGAACTTGCTTATAGTATACATCATAATATATTTTTAATATCTTTTCACAGCCACTGTGGCTAATGGATCCAAAAGAGGTGACACAAGAGCAACATATAGAATTTTATAGGTTTATAAGCAATTCCTATGACAAACCACGATTTACTCTACACTACAAAACAGATGCACCCTTGAGTATTAGATCTATTCTTTATGTACCTGAAGGCAAACCTGGGCTTTTTGAACTATCTCGAGACTCGGATGTGGGTGTGGCTCTGTATTCTAGGAAAATTTTGATTAAGAGTAAAGCTGAGAATATATTGCCTAAATGGTTGAGATTTGTTAAAGGTATTTTGAATTATCTATATATGAATATACTTAATAGAAATAAATAAAATTGGCAAATAAATTCATATCTGATTACTTAAATTATTTAATTTATTTCAGGTGTCGTTGATTCCGAAGACATTCCACTTAATCTTAGTAGAGAACTGTTACAGAATAGTGCATTAATTGCGTATGTATTAATTTATTTTACTATGTCTGACATTATTGGTTATTTAGTTAGGTTTCTAGGTATATTTGGAAATTTACTATAATTATGTATACTTTATGATTTCAATAGGAAATTACGCAATGTTCTAACAAATCGCTTTCTGAAGTTCATAATTGATACAGCTAATAAAGACCCAGTTGGATATGACGCATTTTATAAGGACTATTGTCTATTCTTTAAAGAAGGCATTGTGACGAGTCAGAGTCCATTAGAAAAGGTAACAATAAATCTTAATGCTTATACTTATTTAAGTTGCTATATTTACATGAATAAATTAATTTTATTTATTTGATATTACCCTCTTTGGCGGCTCACTTCAGTGGACCTTGAGAAGTGACCCATTTTAATATTGCTATAATTCTTTATTTTAATACAGCACTATATTCTTGATATGTAATATCTTTAAACATAATGTATTTTTTTCAGGAAGAAATTGCGAAATTACTCAGATTTGAATCATCTAAACTGGAAAGTGGTACCAAAACATCTTTATCAGATTACAATGCCCGACAAAAAAATGACCAAAAAAATATTTATTACTTAGCTGCTCCAAGGTATTATTACATAATTCATTTTTAGACTAATTCTTATTTTAGAGTTGTCTATATTTTTACTGTTTTTTTTTTATTTCTAGTCGTGAGCTAGCGCAGTCGTCGCCATATTATGAATCTCTGAAAAAACGCGATGTTGAAGTTCTATTCTGCTATGAAATGTATGATGAACTAGTCTTATTAGAATTAAAAGAATTTGGCGGGCGGCCCCTTATTTCTGTAGAAAATGATATGCAAAAAGATTCAGCGGAACAATCCGACACTATTATCGGTAAGAAAATCAATATATGTATTTAATCACTTCAATGGCATACTCATGGCACGAAGCAAAAATGTTTATAAATAGTTTGAGATTAAGTTTTGATTAGATGGCGAAGTTTCTATTATATAATATTGTGGAATTCAGAGGTCTTTCACCTTTTATGTCTTTCATTTATATATCAAAATATGTCTTTTTTATAACAGGAAGTGACGACTTGCAAAAAGGACAAATCGATGAAATTATCTCATTCCTAAAATCACATTTATCTGGTAAAGTATTTGAAGTGAGAACTACACAAAAACTGGACTCTCATCCTTGCGTGATCATAGTCCCGGAGATGGCGGCCGCGCGACACTTTATTCGAACACAAGCGCAAAACCTGAGCGAAGATAACAGATTTGCTTTATTAAGACCACAATTGGAAATTAACGCTAAGTATGAAGTTGTTATTTTGGCTACAGTTTATATAGTGTATATGGGACACGACCTCTGAAGGAGTGGGTGGTATATTTGGATAGGCGAGGCAATAGGGAGTCCAAATATATAAAACTTATTTTGAGGAAACAAAAGAGTCAAAAGTTATTGTTACAAACTATTGTGACTTAAAGTTACAACATTTCCATACATTATTATGACATTACTGCCATTTTGACACTTGGAAATGTCAAAATGTCACTTCCAAGTTTCAAGTGCCAAAATGATCTTCAAATATTGAGTCAGATCTATCTCCGAATTTTAAATTAACATAAAGCACTAATGATTGATTGATAATCATGTTCTGGGTTTGAAATAAAAAAAAAGAAAGAGAAGGCTAAGGCGGGAGCGAAGCGTAGCGTAGCTTCCGCCTTAGCCTTCTCAACCTAAATTATCCAAGTCGGTCTGTCACTTAATCGAAAGTAAATAATACACTTAAGATTAAGAAAGTAGTCTAATTAAAACAAAAACTAGAAACGAGCGTATACGAAAATTAACAAAAAACTAATAACTACTGGAAAATAATATGAGAAAAATAACTATGAAAAAGAGCAAAAAATATGAAAACCTGAACGTGTTTAATGAGTACAGATCGTATTCACATAAACTATCGAACTTCGCGGTATTTTGTGACTACCCGCAAAAAATACTGAAAAGTATTCACAGATAATAAAAAAAATAGTTTAATTTTTTTTTGTGCCAAATATAAATCAATTATATAACTCAATATTTTACATAAATCAAATAAAAACTAGTAAATGCATGCATGAATTGAAATAACATATTTCTATTTTAAAATATTAATAATCTGATGACAATTTTCACTTTAAACTGCCTCGGTGGTGTAGTGGCTAGCATGTACGGCTGCACACCCGGAGGTCCTGGGTTCGAGTTCCGGGTCAGGCCAAGTTTAGTTATTGAGTCTTCCTGTATAGTAAGTCTCAGTAACAACCCAGAGTTGGGAAGTTGGCGGTGTTTCACCCCCGTGCCTCGGAGAGCACGTAAAGCCGTCGGTCCTGCGCCTTAACTCTCACCGGTCGTGTCAAGTGGTCGTCCCACCGGAGTATGAGAGTGATAGGAATAGAGAGTGCACTTGTGTCTGCGCGTACACTTGAGCACTATAATATCTCCTGCGCAGTTGGCTAATCTCATTGAGATTGGCCGCCATGGCCGGAATCGGCTAGGAGAACATCATCATCATCATAAATTTTAACTACCTAATTATTACGCGATAATTTGTTGCCCTGAAAGTGGTTTATAAAACAGAAATTGACAGTTTTGTAAAATTATAAGATTAATTTGTTTAGACTATTGTTTTAAGTGAAATTATCAAAATATTAATACAATAAAGCCATAATTGTTATGAAAATATGGATTTTACACGAAAAAGATATTTACTATTTGTTAAAGGTATGTTTATTTTTTGTAATAGCTTATTTAGGTATTGAAATGTATGGAAATGTTCTAACTTTAAGTCTCCGTAACTTTTGACTCCTTCATTTCCTCAAAATCATTTTTATGTATTCGATCTTCTCTTTCACCTCCCTTATCCAAAAATAGCACCCACTCCTTCAGGGGCCGCGTCCCATATACTAAACTTGTGCTGTTATTTTATATATGTCTAATCTTTATTATATGTATAAGTTACAATATTTAAAAAAGATAAATAACGAAACAAAATTTGTTTAAAAACTTTATGGGAAACAAAGTTATTTTTGAAGATTCTTGATTTTCAACCAATACATTTTTTCCAGGCACCCTATAATCAAAAAACTTCATAAACTTATATCCAATGATAAAGAGCTGGCAAATATGGTGGCGCAACAGTTATTTTCAAATGCAATGGTGACAGCAGGCCTTTTAATGGATGCTAGGAACTTAATAACGAATATCAATGAACTTCTGATTAAAGCGTTAGAAAAACACTAAAATAGACTGAAAAGTAATAAAATTTGAACCTTTAATATTTCAATACATTGATTTTGTTTTAAATATAATTATATTATTATATTATATTGTTTCTCTTATTATTTCTACCAAATTAGAACAAGCCAAAAAACTTTAAACAAGAACACGGTGATGTCGTCTCTGTCTCGAAACAAACAGAGCCATCTGCATTTTTAGGGTTTCGTAGACAAATGGCTATCCCTGTTTTCCAATTAGAGCACTAAAGCGCATTATGTGGCATAACGCTAACTTCAAATGTTTCAACTACAGTAATTCCATGGCAACGACTACTCAGCCCAAGTTCATGTAAATAAGTAGTAGTTTTGTTATACAGAGTGTGAGTATACAGAGTGTGTTTTGTTATACAGTTTTCCGAAAACTTTAACCATGGATAAACCTGTAAATAATCTTGTATTAATAATATTAAGTATTCTATCATTATTTCATCATAGTAAAGAAACCTTGTTTTAATTAAAAATATTCTTTAAAACAGAAAATTATTTTACTAAATACGATACCTACCTACGATACGATATAAAACTTCTTTTGTATTTTTTCTCTCTTGTAATAATTTATAGTAGAATATGATTCTGATTCCCATCACTATTTGTATATTAGCAAGTGTCGCAACGTTGAAATAACCAATCAGCGTGCATTTCAACCCGCCTCTCCCGTAACGCTTACCTCAGACTTTCGATAGGTTTGGATGCAGAAGTACATAAATTATGCGTCTATCGGGCTAAGTAGTCGTTGTTCCAAGAAAATATTATGCATAACATTACCGTGCATATACTATCCATGTCGATGGACATTCGACGGGCTGGATTAAATACTTTCGCAAACCGGAGTTGGCCCGCGGGCCGTACTTAGCCCATCACTGGTCTATAGCATCGGAGAGGTTATTTTCCATTGCTGGTTTAATTTAAACTGAAAAAAGGAACAGATTGATGCCCGAGAAGCTTAAAATGTTATATTTTCTGTACAAAATTTAAAATTCCTTAATTTCTATTATTAATTCCTTAGCAAATAATTTTTATTTAGTTTATAACATGTTTAATATTATGCTCTTTTATTGATAATAATAATTAGTATGTTTTATTAAAAAACAGAATTTATCGTAATCGTCGATTATTAAGTTCAATAATTGTAATCAAAATTGCTAAGCAAAAATAGTTTCATGATTCATCACTAATTTTAACAAATGAGCACTTCACTAGCAACATTTCCTCTCCTTTTTTACTCTGTATTTTATTTCACTCTGCAATTTGATCGACCGAAGCCGGCGAATCAGCGATGCATTGGTTCAATCACGATTAGCGTAGGCTGTAACGGAAGAGCGGTTTATTTTATTTAGAATCCACGGCATTTGAATTTTTTATTCATTCACAGAAAGTACAACATAACTGAATGTAATACTAACACGTAAGTTTTTACTAAAATAAAAGTTGCAATTTATGTCCATGATATATTGACAAACGATTTTCCTCTGCACCCACTTGAAATTATTTTAGCAGCAGCAAATTTTAATCGCAAGTAAAAAATAACTTTTTAACTATTTTAGTTGCTTACATCCTTGAAACAAAGACATTTTCGACATTTTCAATGTAAAAAAATCATTATACTTATTGTGAATAATTAACAATGAGTGCAACCGACATAAATAAAGTTGACCATGAAGAAGAAACTAAGACGTTAGATAAACAACAAATAGAAGCCGAGGAGAAAGAGATAATGTTAAAAGTAGAAAGTGAAACTGTAGAAGACGATGTAGAGCTTCGAAACGACGAAGGCCCTGTAAAATCAGCTCTTTCGGGTGATATTACTGAACAGGGACGCGAAGTGAAGCCCAAATTTATACCAATTGGCGCGATTAAAATGCCTGGATTTTTTACTAGAAATTCGGATAGAGAAAAATCAAAGGTAAACGTAACTTATGGTTTTATATTAATATAATATATTTAAAAGATTAAACTTACTTTTTGGTTATCACTTGAAATAAACAATAATAGCAATATAATAAATATATCATTTAAAACAGATTTTTTATAGCTATTTTTCTTTATAATGCTTAGAGAAGCTATTGAAGCTGTTAGGCCCACCCTTTTTTTCTTAGTCTGCCAAATTATTGAATAGAAAACATTTGAATAATAGTTTTAACTTTTAAGTTATATTAGCTACAAAATTATTAATATATGATGATATAAATATGTATGATCTTAATTAACTTGCAAAAACTAATTGAGCAATTTTGATGTATATGTAACATTAATAATAAAATCTCAGATTTGCTTACATCTTACAACATATTTTCAAAATATATAATATTTTCAAAAGTGCGAGTGTAAAAGTTTTTGCATAAAGTATATTTTGATTATTATAAATGTGAAAGCTTGCTGTTTGGATATCTGTTACTTAATGACACTGGAACGGCTGAACATATCTGGATGAAATTTGGCACAGAGATAGACTATAATAGTCTGGAATAGCACATAGGTTACTTTTTAATATTTGTATCAAACTATTTATTATGTTGTAGATTAAAAAAAAACCAATATCCAACATCATAGTTGATGTGTTTGATGACTAAATGTAAAGATATCCATTTTTGGTTTTTATAAAATTAAATAAAATACAGTTTGTAGTGTACATAAAATAAAATTTAATAAAAATATATATTCTTGTCAATAACAGGATGAGGAAGCTATTGAAAAAGAAACAGATAATGACAAAAGCACAGAGAAAACTGATGATGATTCCAAATCTAAACAGCGCTTCCAGTTTTTACAAACTTGTCCTTTTACAAAATACCTTCAACAATCTCCTAAAGAAAATGGTTAGTTTTTAGAAAATTGAAAAAATACTTTTATAAATTTGGACATTTATTGATTATTAACTCAACTCTACTTAAATTTTAGAACTTGATCAGAGTGGTGGAAAGAAAGGTTTTGGATTGTTTAATGTGAAGTATCCAAAGTTGTTTCAAAAACGTTCTGCAAGTGCAACTGAAGCGGCGCTCGCTTCAATGGAAACATTAGAAGATAAACTGGACACTCCTAATGATGGAATGGAAAATGTAAAATTAGATATGACAGTTGGTATTTTTTTTTTGGTTTAAAAAGTGAGCTTAAAAAGTGCATTATAATTAAACAAAAAGCTTCTATTAGTTGATACAGTTTATTATCTACAACTTAACAGGAAATACATCCTTTGAAATTTTGTGGTAAAAATACCCTAGCCATAATTTATTTCAAATATTGGCTGTACATCTCATTACATTTTTAAGCTTTATTTAAATATATACAGAATGCACTAACTCAGTTATGTTTCTGTATTGCACTGTATTCATAAAATATATTTTGTTTTAGGATGAGCAAGAAGGTAAAGTAGCAACAAGACTTCCATTAAAAGAGAGGATTCGGCAGAAAAAGTTTATTATTGGTAGTTATAATTGCATAATGTAAATTAATAAATGAGTTTATTATCGTATTAATTTTTTTTTTATATTTCAGATGACATTATGGTATGTGGAGTTGCACTATTAGTGCTTTTAGTAGTGGTAGTGGGTGTTTTAATAGGGGCACTTGCTGGTCCACCCACTGAACGACCCCTACGCCTTGGAAGATTTATAACAACTTTGACAACTTGTGGATTGATTGAAGGGTACATTTTTATTTGTTTTTTTTTTAAATATAAATATAGATAATATTATGTAATAATATTTATAAATATATTACTTGATTTATTTATTTTACAGAATTCTAGATGAAGGTGTCTATAAATTTTATAGCATCCCATATGCAGTGCCCCCAGTGGAAGAAAAAAGATTTACTTACGCACAACCAATAAACAACCTATCGATGTGCTGGAATGGTACCCTTCAAGTTCATGAACCTGGTCCTCTTTGTCTTCAGTTTTTGGAAAATGGTACTATTACTGGAGATGAAGATTGCTTAACTCTTGATATAGTCACACCTCATGTGAGATACGATTCACCATTACCAGTTGTTGTCTTGATAGGCGCTAATACATTAGCTGGAGGAATTGGTCCAGCCCAACCTTCTGCCTTATATGCAAGGACTAAAGAAGTTGTCTTTGTCAGACCAAATTTTAGACTAGGAGCATTTGGGTTTTTATCTCTTGATATTCTATCAACTGTAAAATATCCGCCTACATCAGGTAATTATGGTCTTAGTGATTTAATGGTGGCATTGCAGTGGATTAAATATAATATAAAACATTTTGGAGGAGATCCCGAATCTGTAACATTGTTGGGGCATCGGGCGGGCGCTACTTTAACGGCTGCCTTAACTACTATAAAAAAGGCGCACAAGTTATATTCTCGCGTTTGGCTATCTTCACCATCTGTCATATTCCCTGGAGAACCTCTTGTACAATCGCAGAAAAATAACGAGCAATTCAAACAGATTAGTAAATGTAACGATGCCGATTGTTTGCGACGGATATCTCAATTAGAAATTATGACGGCCACTCCCGACACTTGGCTCGGAACCGATGTTAGTACTCTACCACTTTCTGGAGAGTTTAAACGTTCTTGGCTCGTACTTGATGGGGACCTTATGAGGAATCACGCGTACGAAATTTGGGACGAGCAGAAGGAAGCCAAGAACACTGGTAAAGATAAAATGTTCAAACCCATGGTATTCGGAACCACACAACATTCTGGCCATTCTGAGGTGTTACGAATGAAGCACATAAACTGGACTGCCGAAATTGTCGAGAGAATGGTTAATGAAAGTTATTTAGGCGAGAAGAACTTGACGAATGACGTTTTTAAAGTTTTCAATAAAACATATGAGGGTTTAGTGGACTTAATATCGTCTATACGGACATTGTGTCCGTTGGTGAGCCTGGCGCGGCTGCGTCTGGTAGCGCCGATGTACGTAGTGCTGGGTTCGGGTGCAGGCGGCGGCCGGACCGGCTCGGGCATGGCTGGCATCAATTCTGATATTGAAGCAATTTTGGGCACCTTCGACTCTGTAATGGCCGAACAACGCAGGTTCATGGCGGCTGTACAACAGCTGTTTTACTATTTCGTCTGGCACGGACACTTGCCGGGCCCTGAAAGTGGTTTAATCGCCGTGGGTCAAGACCTCCTCACCCACCCTGGACTCCCCGCATGTGACTTGCTCATACAAAACGATATTGTACCTAGATATGCGCACATCGATTAATAGACAAATTAATTCTAAACGAAATTTTAATATTAATTTGATTTTTTGTGTTTATTTAACTTTTCTTATTGAAAACATATAGTATTATTTCAATACTTTTTTAAATGTTATCTACAATTATCAAGGTATGTTCTAGATTGTGTACTATAATGCGTGTTTCCATTAGTTTTTCTTTAGAAATTTTACACTTTGATTGTGTTATGAGTAGTGTAACTTCCAGCTGGGCTCATAGGATAAGTAACTTCTAATACTCGTGTAAAAATTTTAAAGCACTCTATTAATATATTAAGTACTTACAGACCTTTTTATATTTTAAATTTTTCTCTTGAAATAATTCTAATAAACTAATAAGACTGATTTTCGAATCCCATAAATTATTGATCTCACATCACCATTTAATCGGTCAACATCTTTAATTCTAATTTTTATACACAGACAGTAGCTCAATGTGTCTCTCATGTAGTTAGTTTTTATTATTATGTTTACAAAATAGTATTTTGTAATGTTTGTATATTAGTTTTATAAGATTCATTGATTTAGTCATATAAGGTAACATTTCCAAAAATTAAAACCCCAGTTTAGTATTAATTGTAGAGATAATGTTGTAAGTTGGTGTTCATATCTTCAAATAACCATAATTGTTTACTTTAAAGGCTGATGATCCAAAGAGTGACTTGTGCATATTTGTATCGGTTTTATACATATTATAAGCTATGATGTAGCATTTATACCGCAGTGTGTGTAGTAACGATAGGTTTTGCCATACCATCTTGTCAATACAGTTGTCTTGCCAAATATTAAGGAACAGGAGGCTTTATAATAAATAGCTTAAGATTTATAATATTAAATAAAATATAAATTACCTTTCTATGACTTTTTTGCGATTGAACCACTTGATCTCGATTTTATTATACTAATCAGGCAGTTTGGCTTTTTATTTTATCACTGACTGCACGTGTTTTGTGTAATTCGTATTTCATTAGAGTAGTTTTATAGCCATAAACTTCAGCTTGACTTCATTTTGTTATTTAATATTCTTAATAATATATGTATGATGCTGTCATCATTAGTTTTATTTTCTCACACTTCCATTCCTCCACACTCCTTAGTCCTCACACTCCTTATTCCTATGTTTGAAGCTCTACACATTATGGTAATTAAAAAAAAATAAAGATCTTTCTATAGATTTATAGGTATGTAAGATAATTAAAAAAAAGTAGGTAGTTAAAATGAAATACCTACACAAACTTATTCAACTGTGATTTATGATCACGTTATAAAATGAAACTAGCTATTTGAATGGCTTATTTCTCACGGAATTGGACCTAAAATCAATAGAAAAATATGTAAGTATTTTTTTAAAAACTTCTGAGTAAATATAGATTTCTACAGAAACGACATATACAAATGTACTCGCTCTTAGCAAGGTGGGTAAACCTAAGTCGACTCTCGCATGCCATATTAATTTAAATACATATTTTTAAGGGGTTTTATAATCTAGTGTTTTGATAAAAACCCTTTCAATAAGGTAATCCATTCAACAGGATTTATTAAATTATTTCCCACGTAGGATTGTAAGGTTACAAGGTAAAGTTATCTATACATATAATAAAATTGTAACTAAGCCGAATCTGTACATTAGACATTTTTTGGAAAATCTTATTGAAATAAACATTATTATCGATAGAGGCCGAATCTAGTTTTTGGAATTTTTGTCTGTCTGTCTGTCTGTTACCGCATCACATAAAAACCACTGTAGGGATTTTGATGAAATTTGGTATGGTGATAGCTGGTTATCTGGGTCAACATATAGGATACCTTTTATATACGATACTTTTTACCGCGGGAAAATATCTCATTTCTGAGAAAAAGTACAAAAACTGCATTGCAAGAGTATACTAATATGTAAAACCTAAGAATTTGGCGTTTGGTCATCCGAACGCGGGCGGAGCCGCAGGCAATGCTAGTAAACTATAAAAGTGTGTATATGGATTAACCACTAGCTTAATAGTAGATTACCATATCTATAATTAAAAGGGCTTCGACAGAAACGTTTTGTATACGAACAAAATTATTGATTATGCATGTAATGTAGCGTGTGATTTCATGACAAGATTTTCCCGCAGAAGTACCTACATATTTTAGAGCCCCTATAGATATTCAATTAAAATACAGTTTTCTTTCACATTTTTTATTTAAAAGTCAAACAGAGTCATTGTGTCATTAAATAAATAGATACATTGTAATTTTCCAATTGAAATTTAACATGCCAATAAATTAAAACAATAATAAATAAACGATAATGCGGAACAAACTTCAGAAACAGTGTTATCCATCATCACTTTAAATAAAGAACTTAAACTTAATCTAAAAACCCAAAAATGTTTACTAGTTTGATTGATCTTACCATTTTGATACATTTTACATGAAAATATGTTACCTATATAATATGTAAAATATCAAAACCCTTTTTTATCACCGCATCAGTGAATTTTAAAGAAAATATTTTGATTAAAAGCAAGTAATGTGGCGATAAGTTACTTGTTTTATATCTAATGATTACGTTCTCTTAGAGGCGATATAACATTCGGCATATTTTCTTTTCCCATTTTAAGAGTTTTCCTCAGAACAGAAGGAGATTTTGGTTTGGTTTGATTGATTTCAGCTTCTTTCTTCATCTTGTCCATAACCGACGTCTGCTTCGCGACCGTCATCGTTAACTCTTCATTCTCTTGTCGAAGAAGAGATAACTCAACTACTAGAGATTGCTGATCTTCAATCTGTAAACAATAAATTTAAAGCAAATAAAACATAATAAATAGAATTCTTATTAAAAACATTAACTATATAAACATATTATAATAATTGGAATATAGTATTTGTTAGTTTTGATAAGCGGAGAAGTTAAGAGAAAAATGTCTGTCACGGTTTGAGTACCGCCGTCGTGAAAAACACAAACAAACAAGTATTTTCTTCTCTTAGATATGGTAATCTAGTTTTCAGCTAATTTCTGCATATTCAGTGTTAATATATAGATATTTTTATATACATTAAACACAACTTTAACTAACTTTGATGTATGAAGCTTTAGATAAGTTTGATGTATATATTTTTCCTAATTGTAAACCTATTTTTCATGATCCCGATCCTTTTTTAAATGAATAATTTATGTCTGAATAGTAGTCCCGTATGATTTAGAAAAAAAATCAACTTTTGAACGTATCACTACGTCATATTATAAAACAAAGTCCTCCTCCGCGTCTGTCTGTCTGTTCGCGATAAACTCAAAAACTACTGCACCGATTTTCATGATTTTTTCACCAATGGATAGAGTGGTTCTCGAGGAAGGTTAGGTTAGGTAGTTATATAATTTGTTAAGTTTTTGTATATATTGGCTAAAATATATCGATATTTGTTAGAGGTGTCGGAAAAAATAAGCCGTCTGGGAGCTTTCAACGAAAACGCTGCCTAAATAAATCCTTTGAGATATAAGAAAATAATGTATGGTGGAATTGTGTATCTTATATAGGTCTACAGAAAAGACCGCAATGGCATATGTCTATCTCTTAAGGATAACATACTGTATCCATTTTAATTTTAAACGTATCTAGGGACGACCGAGCGAAGCTAGGGTGAGTCGCTAGTGTAGAATAAGATACTTGATTAATACATAGAGAGCCTAAGCTGCGTCTGCATTCAAACAGTGCTAGTGAATAGAGCAAATACGTTGTTATCCATACCACCTAACCCATATTCTTATCTATACAGTCGTCTAACTAATCCATCACATCACAGTTGTCTTCGGGTGAGTCCCCCACCCCCCGAGTCTTAACTCGGGCAAGGCGCACCCGACTATCAAAAATTAATCTTTTTGGCAACCCTAGCGGTGGACAGCATTTCCGTTAAAATGATTGTGCTATCGCCTGTATGTGTGGGTGTGTTCTGTGTATACTGTGACAATGGTACCTGTTGCTGCAGACAGTGGTTGTCGGCCTCGAGGCGGGCGATCTCGGCGGCGGCGTGCGCCAGCAGCGCGCGCGACTGCTCCGCCGCGGCCGCCGCCTGCCCCGCGTGCTCCGTCGCCAGCTCGCACAGCATGCGCTTCTTTTCTACCTGCATTACATCATAATATTAGTTATACATACTTGTATTTATTTTTATTTTTTTCGCCCAAATTTAAATGAGACCATTTTTGAGATATACCCTATCCAATAAAAAAAGAATCATCGAAATCGTACTACACTGTAAAAAGTTAAGTATGTGTTGTCAAACATAAAAAAAAATATCTGTGTTGAATTTAGAACCTCCTACTTTTTGCGTCGGTTAAAAATTAAGTTATAATAAGCTAATACAATTTTTAAACTCACCTCATCCCTTAGCATTTTAATTTGGGAATTCGACTCTTTCTTAATTAACTCAACGTCTTCAATGAGCTCACTTTTGATGGAACCAAGTTCACGATATGCCTCTTTCTCAACATTTTGTAAGCTTTCAATGAGAGACACATTATGTTCCATAATTCTATTGTGTTCTTTGGCTAACGCTGCTTTGGATTTGAGAATGTTAACAAGGGCCTCCTTGTATTCATTACATTCTAAAAGTGTATTCTTCAGAGAATTTTTATATGTGGCCAGTTCTGATTCTAATACTTCCTTAGAGTCTGTCAATGTTCGAACTTGGCTTTCTAAGTGTTCCAATTCATTATCAGATTCTCTTAAGCGCATAGTGAGAACTTGTACTATGTCCCGAGTAACTGATAAAGACATTTCAAATTTATTCTTCTCCTTTGTTACTTTATCTACTTCTACAGTTAATTTGTTTATTTCATTTTCAAAGTTTATAATTTTTTTCTTTGATTCTTCTTTTAAATTTTCCAGTTCCTCAATTATATTGTTTTTCTCAAGTTTTAGATTGTCATTGTCCTGTTGCATATACTTGATTTCTTTGTTCAAAGCAGTATTTTTTTCTTCGTTAATATTTAATACATATCTGAGATCTTTTATTTCATTTTCAAGTGTAAGTATTTGTCTTTGTTGCTGTGCCCAATGCTCTTGTAAATGCCTACTGCGCTCTTCAAACTGTATTTCACACAATCTCAACTTTTCATTTGTGGCCTCATCTATTTGTTCTAATTTTGCTTTCATTTCTTGATCCTTAACAACTAAGGCATGTTGTAGTTCCTGTATCTTATCATCATTTTCTTTTTTTAATTGATTTTTGATTTCTTCTATCATTGCATTATATTTTACCTTTAGATTCTCTTGATCTATCTTACTTTTATTGATGATAGCTTGTTTTTCTTCATCCAGTTTTGATTTTAAAGATTCAATTTCCACTTTATATTCTCTTCGAATACTTTCGTTGGCTTCTAGTGCTAAAGCATGATGTCCTTTTACCATTTCAAGCCTTTGACGAGTTTCTTCTAAACAAGACTCTGCATTGGTCAGTTTCTTTTGCAAATCAGTACAAAGACTATCTCTGATTGTAATGATTTCTTCAAGGGAAGAAAGTTCAACTTGCTTGCTGCTAACTTCATTCTCTAGTTTTTCACACTGTTGTTCTAATTCAAATATTTCATATTTTAAATTATTAATAATAGTAGATTTTTCTACATCGTCTTCAATATTATCATTTAACTTGTTGACTTTTCCATCATCAAGAGAAATTTGGCATAATTTATTGTTGATTGTCTCAATTTCATTGGATTTTTGATTTTCTTGTAACATTTTATGCAATTTTGCTATTTCATTTTTCAAATCATCTATCTGTTTATTGTATTCCGATATGGTGTAATCCTTATTCCTGTAGAAAAGAATGGGAAATATTATAGTACTAGTTTAATGCCTTTAAAAATAAAAAAAAGAACATTAACTACTAAGACTTACCTAATTTCAACTTCATGTGCTTTAATAAGTTCATCTTGTACATTACTATTTATCTTTTTGGTAATTTGCGGAAAGTTTTTTTTTGTACTGTCAATAGTTTTACATTTAGAATTGACAGGTTTGCCTGGTTTTGGCTGCAAAAAAGTTAAAATGAGTAAGAATTATGTGTATTTAAAATCAAAGTGACACTAACAATAAGTAATAATTAAATAAAATTGTAATCTTTAGAAAGGTATTATTTGTAACTAATGTCAGTAAAAACTTAAGAGCCTTTTGATCTGATTGACTTAAGATCAATATGTATGCATAATAAAATGGGTATTTTTATTGTATAATTAAGGTAATTAATTTAATAACTTAAATAATACTATAACTCTCACTTAAAACAAATACAGCTTGTTGGGATCTTAGGTATTTGTTAAATATATGATTTGAATATCTAAGTACTATAATTTATAACAAGCAACATAACTATAAATCTAGCACATATATAGACACGATTACTTACAGTTTTAAAAGATTTCGTGCTTCGTACTGAACTACACTGAGACTGTACATCAAAATTTTGTTTAGAAGGTGTAGTTAATGAAGCTGTGGATTTTATTGTTGCAGTTTTATTCGGTGCTTTTTCTATTTCTCGTTTAGTTTGAATTTTCGACTGTGTTTTAATTGGAACTGTTAATTAGTAAAATTTCATAGTTATAATATATGTCATAGTATAAAATATTGTATTAATATAATGCGAACACTAAAAAGCTAGACTTCCTTGGATAAATAAAAAGAAAATTCATTAGGTTTGTAAAATGTTTTAAACTTACCCGCTGTATCAAATCTTTTAGCTTTTGAAAACATTCTCCAAAAATAATTTGTTAAACTTTAAATTACTCGTAATCAAGTAACACCTCTAAAATTCAAAATTTCATTAACACTTAATATAAACTATTAAGAACAAGCTCTATAGAAAATGTTTTAAGTCATTACAAAGACGGCAAACGACTATAAGATTAAAGATACAACGCTTTCAGCAGGGGTTTTGTGAGGCGAAGCAAATCGCGCGCGAAAATGGGGTACGGGTTTTCGGCTTTTGTTATTATTTGTATTGTACTCAAGTAACCGTTAAAATTACGTTCCTTTGCACGATCTCGGGTTAAATCCATATTAATATAATAAAATTCTAACTAAGCCGAATCTGTGAGATATTAAATATTTTTTGGAAAATCTTATTAAAATAGACATTATTATCGATACAGATAACAGAGGCTAAATCTAGTTTTTAGAATTTTAGTCTGTCTGTCTGTTACCGCATCACGGAAAAACCACTAGAGGGATGTTGATGAAATTTAGTATGGTGATAGCTGGTTATCCGGGTCAACATATAGGATGCTTTTTACCGCGGGAAAATATCTCATTTCTGAGAAAAAATACAAAAACTGGGAAGAATAAAACCACGATGATACTATAAACATTTTAGCATGGTAACTCCCTAAATATGGCAAAAACTATTAAAAATAGCAAATATATAGCATATAAATAGCAAAAACTATTAATAATATTAAAAATATTTTTATCAATAGCGCTATTTTATTCATTAAAATAGTTTTTTTAATGAATATTTACTTATTTGTTATTTAGATATTTATCAATAGATATCGCCATGTGTTAAATACGTAGTTTTAATTCCAATAATTTGAATATACATATATGAACCACAGAGTACATTGGTATATACTATATGAACTTTGTAAGATTACCCGCGGCACTGACCGTGTTCAAATTATTATTAATAAAATAAACTTTTTGCCTTTTATAAATTAGTAACATATCTATAAATATCTGTACGTGTGTTTGTAAACCTACTCCTCCTAAAGGACTGGACCGATTTGGATGAAATTTTGTGTGTATATTTCAATGGGCTCCAAGATGGTTTGAAAACACAACTGAACCCGGTAGGTGGTGCTGCAGTCGGCGTGCCACCGATCATCTCTTAAACGTCTGGGATAATTTTAATGATATTTTTTGTGTATGTACGAGTGAGTCCTTGCAAGGTCTGAAAATATGGACCCGGTAGGTGGCGCTGCAATCGGTATGCCACTGATCATCTCCTAAACGGCAGGGACGATTTCCATGATATTTTCGGTGTATGTTCGAGTGTGTCCCTGCAAGGTTTGAATTCACAAATGGATCCGGTAGGTGGCGGTGGTGGTCGGTCACAAAATTTTCATTAAAGACTCCATTTTCCGAGCATAAATAAAATTAAATTGTTGATAAAATAAAATAAAAATCGGTGGGTTTTCTATGGACTCCAAAACAGCTGGAGCGATTTTGATGTCATTTTTATGTAATCGTCAGATTAGCCCAGCGGGTGATCCTGTGAATGTTATTAGCGATCGGAAGATAAGACGCGCGTGAAGTCTCGGGTACTGCTAGTACATATAATAAAACTGTACCTGTCGAATGTCTGTACATAGGAAAAACTACTAACTACTAGACTAACCTACCAACTACTAGACTAATAAAAACTTTTTAACAAAAAAATAAAAACCGACTTCAAACAAAAGCACTAAAAAATAAAAAATTACTGATTGGTAGTTTTCATTTACTATACATACCTAATCAAATATTTTCGAAGTCGGTGTGCTTTGCTTTGTATGGGCTGGCACCGATTTCGAAAGTATTTGATTAGGTATGTATTTAATAGGTAAGCTTTAATTACTTAGCCAAAGCACACCGACTTCGAAAATATTTGATTAGGTATGTATAGTAAATGAAAACTACCAATCAGTTATTTTTTATTTTTTAGTGCTTTTGTTTGAAGTCGGTTTTTATTTTTTTGTTAAAAAGTTTTTATTTTTCCTTTTTTAGTGTAGACAGTAGTAGCATAGTAAGGATTCTAACGTGTTAGGCTTGTCAAATCAAACAAAATAAGCCCAAACTCAAAGTATCTACTATAAGCCGTTGAAGAGTTCCACCTATCCACCTTCTGGCCTTACCATCAGATCAGGTCAACAACACCGAACCACTGTACTATCAACGGAAATAGAAATACTTGCAAAGTTTCAAGTCAATATGACAATTAGAAGTAGGTTAAATTCATCATTAGTTGTTTTTCCACCCTTAGGGGTGGTATTTTTTTTTGAAATTTAAATGGGACCAATCTGGAAGTATACCCTTTCAAACAAAACAAAAACTGTCCAAATCGGTTAATAAATGACGGAGTTCTGAGGTAACAAACATAAAAAAAAAAAAAACATACAGTCGAATTGAGAACCTCCTCCTTTTTGAAGTCGGTTGAAAACTACTAACTACTAGACTAACCTAAGACTAACCTACGAAATTTTTGTACCGATTTAAATGAAATTTTGCATGGTGGTACACCTTATATCCCCAGTCAACACTTCAGATTCTTTTCATCCCGGAAAATGAAAGAGTTCCTGTGGGATAGTTACAAAACTATAGTAACTTATACAGCTTAGTACACAAAACTCCAATATTTAAAAAAAATCCAATGTTTTAATAAAACTTTACAATAATATAGTTCATACATCAGAAAAAAGCAAAAAACCAGGTATAAAAGAGATATCACAAAAAATTGCTTAACCTCAGACTGAATGTGAATAGGCCATACTTGTGGGGCACTCCTTTCGAGAAATCTTCCTTATTTTCGCTAAATATTGCTAGATGAAGTAAGAGATTAATCTTATTTTTTTGTAGTGCACATTGCTACAGCAACTTTAGATTTCAATAACATTATTTTTCTCCTATATACTAAATATTGAGATTAACTAAACAAAAATGAAAAGAAAAAGAAGATATGGACGACATAAGTCCATTCATTTAAAAAAGTGAAAATTCAAATAAAATTTTTATTAAATATATTTCCTGTTGTGTGGAATAAGTTGCAGATTATACTATAGATAAGAAATGATCAAGGAATAAAATTAAAAGAATTTTATTTTTACTTTATAATAGTTACATTACATAGATGGAGGTGGAGGAGGCACAGGCAACAGTGGAGGATGAGGGGGAACTCCCATCATCGGTGCACCAGGGGGTGGTGGTAGGCGAATGCCATGATTTTCCCACATTTTAGGTGGAGGTGGAGGCATTCTCAAAGGCTCCATTTTAAATGCAAATTGAAGGAAAAATTGTTTTGTATCCTTGTTCCAGTGTGTCCAAAACTTAGAATCATGCTTTTCAACTTCCCTACTGGGCACTTTAAAGGCTATTGTCTCGTATGGCTCAGCAGCAAAAAGCAAATATTGCCACCTGCGGTCTGGAGGTTCAATTTTCTGTTCATAAGCAGACATGAAACGGTGTCTAGGCTGTACTCCTTCAGCTATTTCTAAAATAAGATAATAGTATGTTAATATCAATCACATTTAAAAAAATATTACATATCACTATCTTTTAGTCTTAAATTCTTTATTCTATTTTTTTTACCTGGATAATCAACTTGAAACAACAAGCTTTGCTGCCCATTTTCAGGATCCTTTTGTTTTGTCACTCTGTAACCAGGTCGACCAATTTTAACAAACTTTTTTGGTTCTATTCTCGGTTTCTCGGGAGCCAATTGTTGAGGTGCTTCTTTAGCTTCCTTAGCTGCTCTACGAGCTAAATTGGCTTGATGTTTCTTTCCCTGAGTATGAGCCAAGTAACTGCCTTCATTATTATGAAGGGTTAAGCACAATTTGCACTCATATGAACCTAAAATATATATAAATAAATGTTTAATTATCAATTACAATAGAATATTTTTATTTACTACGAAATTAGTATTTCTTATAATTACCTAAATGATTTTTCATAAAATAAGGATCCTTATTTAAATCTATAGTTTCGAGAGCAAGTAGCCTTAGCCTCTCCCGTCGGTCTCGGTTGCTTTCAGACCATGATGCTACACCTCCACCGCCAGTTTTGCCTCCGGGCCGATTTTGAAAATCCATTTCGCGTACTGTGTTTTAAAGCTTGATCTGGTCCTATTCAATATTTCCTGTTCTTATGGGTATGTATATGGATTTTTTTAGAATACAAAACATTGAAACATAATAAGCTCGCCAATCGCCACTGACACTCGACTACAGACCATAGAGTATATTGCTACATAAACTACAGCCTCACAGAGTATATATCATAGAGTATATTGCTACATATATAAAGTATATATGTAGCAATATACTCTATGGTATAGACTATTGGAATTTGGAGATCACAGGCCACAGTTTAAAGATCTAGTAACTATGGATGACAAATAAAAACTCCCAGTTTTCCTATTATAGTACTAAAGCGCATAATGCGGAATAATGCCAACTTCGGATGTTCCAACTAAAGCAAGATTCCGCTCAATCGAGCACTTTGAAAAGTACTGCTTTGGCGTGATGCGCGCAAGGATACTGGTGTTTTTTCTTCAAGGTGGCATTGATCATAATTTTATTTACATTATCGTTAGTAATATTTATATTTTATTTATGTAATTATATTTTAATTAGTTATATATTATTATATATCTAAACTAATATTATGAAGAGGATCTACTGAACCGATTTAGATAAAATTTGGTAAGAAGATAGTTTGAGGCCCTGGAAAGGACATAGGATAGTTTTTATTCCAGAAATTCATCCCTTAAGGGCGTGAAACTGCGGATAAAGATTGTATTGGGAAGCAAGCTAAGGATGAACCCAAGAGAAGCGAGGATGAGTCTCTAGTTTATTATATAATTTATAATATCGACGATAGTTATTATTATATATTTTATACATATTAGTTATATTTTTTCTTTCAACACTAAACCTAGTGCCCTCTGCTGGTGCACTTGAAAAATAATACACGTTCCAATTAAACATTAGCACACTTCGGCATTGTACGCCAAAGTACGGCATTATGCTCTGTAATTGGAAAATAGGGTCAGACATGATACAGCAGACTACACACTCGACGCTCGCCACCTCTCTAAATCCACAGATGTATAATAAAATAAAAATACAATATTTGTCTTCCATGAATACATTATAACGAATACAAATTGTAAATTAATTAAATTATACAGATTACTGATTATTAAACAAAATTTAACGTGAGTTATATTTGTATATAACGCAGATAATTTACTAATACATATCGTTATTCGTTCCTAGTCTGTGCTGACTGCTGATAATGACGTTACCGGTTCATCACAGGCCAATAAATGTAAAATAATACTTTTTTAGATTTACGCGAATACTTGACATTTTAAATAAAACTATCTTTTCGGATTTTTTCGCGAATTTATTTTGATTTTTGGTTCCCGACGTTTCTAATGCTTTACAGCAATCATGGTCACGGGAGAGACTGAGGTGTTAGTATTCATAATTATTTGTGAGACTGATTTATTAATGTATTAAAAATATTTTTTTTGTTTGTTCTATTAATATATTAATAACTATTTTTTTGTATCTGTAGTACTTAAGAGCCTTTTCTCTGTTAGGTATTCTCTGTTCTTATTAGTCTCTTCTCCGGTCCTATTTCCGCACACGAGGGTTTGGACTTTTGGTCTAAGGTCTCGGCTATATTAGCGAGAGTGTACCGTCGATCGGTATAATAAATGTTGACGTTTTTATGCAATCTGTGACTTGTCAAATTTTACCTTCTTTTCTGTTGTCAAAATAAGCGGAAGGTAGTGTTTTATTTTAAAATCTTAATAAATCCTTAAAATCAGTGATTATTTATTGTATTGACTATTATGTTTGAGTGTATATTCGCTATACTATTCGTTTGATATCATTATTTTATTCTATGTTACAGCAAAACAAAAAGTTTAGAGTTTTTATTTCCTAACCTATTTTGAAATAAAGTATACTTGTTTTAGGTAGTGGTTCAAGATGTTGATGCCAAAACAGAACCGTGTGGCAATCTATGAATACCTTTTTAAGGAGGGTGTTATGGTAGCCAAAAAAGACTACCATGCACCCAAGCATCCGGATCTGGAAAGGATTCCCAACCTTCAGGTTATTAAGGCAATGCAATCACTTAAATCAAGAGGTTATGTGAAGGAACAGTTTGCATGGAGGCATTTCTACTGGTAAGTGCTTAATATTTACTTACGCTATAGAAAATTATTAAAACTATATATTTTCAAAAATTACTCATTAAAGTAAAAATGTCGGTAACCTCCTGTGTAATTTTTAAAATTGAATTTTGCATTTTATGCCTACCAACTACCAAGTGAATTGACTTTATAGCAAAGTTATAAAAATATTGCATATATAAAATATACATTTCAAAGTATACATTTACATACTGATAAAAGTTTGAATGTGTTAAAAATTATTAAGAGAATTATATTTTGTCTTTATTATTTCATTTGCTTACAGTTTATACTATTATATTGTAACACAAAATTTACTTTAAAAAAAATTAAAACTTTTACATACAGAAAAACAGATGAAGTTTAAAATAACTATAGTAACATGTCTTATATTACTATATAATGTATTTTACTAGGTATCTTACAAATGAAGGTATTGAGTACCTAAGGATCTTCCTCCATCTTCCACCTGAAATTGTACCTGCAACTCTTAAACGTTCAGTACGCACTGAGCCGGTCCGCCGTGGGGCTGTTGGCAGGCCTGATGCTCCAGCTCGATCAGCTGAGGACCGTTCCATGTACCGCCGTGCCCCTACCACACCTGGTGCACCACATGATAAGAAGGCTGATGTTGGTCCTGGCTCCTCAGATTTAGAATTTGTAAGTACATAATTTTATTGTACATAACATTACATATCCATTACATTGCTTTAGACTCATATAATATGGCAAGAAATTAAAGTAAGAATAAAATTTAATATTAATTTCTGATGTAATTTGAGTGTCCACAAACAAATATCTTTTAAGTTTAGTATTTCTTTAAAATTTGTTTACAATTTTTTTTTTTGCTTTTTTACAGAGAGGAGGATTTGGACGAGGCAGACCAGCTCCCTAATTTTAGTTAAGCTAAATAAAAACAATCATTTATCACTTTGTTTTATTTGTTAAGGAAATAAAAAAGTAATGGTTTAGTATGTTTTTATATCTATGAGAATGCAATCTCCTGCTTCACTGTGTTATGGAGATATTTTTTAAAGTAATATTCCTGTGGAAAATGTAATAGCTAAATCATTTTTTTTACAATTTTAATCTAACATGTTGTAAAGGATGAATAGATTTCAATGATTTTTTTAAAGTTGACAGAAACATGATTATTTAATACATCAAATTTTTTTTCAATGGGTTGACTAATTCCAAAATTTATTGATGACTGTGGACCTTTGCTGTGGACTTAATAGCAATCAAATGTATCGAAAGGTCATACCAGTTGCTATTAGTATCTAAACTAGCTTTTAGTAAATTAAACCTGTACCCAACGGTTCCTTTTAATGTGAGGATGGTTAGGTTTTTCTGTTATGTAGATTTCCCGCCATATTTTCTTTCTCTCAATTCATAAGTTGTAATAAAAAATAATTGACATGTTTTTTTTAAAACTAACAATACTCATGTAAAACTGGGACTCAGTCGGAAAATCAAATTTGGAAAGTGACTGGTAGTCTTTGAACAACCCCATTATTTGTCTTCTGGCTCCATTATCAAATCGCCAAGATGGTATCAAACTGGTCTAGTCATCAGTCATATTTTACATATAAAGTTTCAAATCGTAACAAATTATATGATAGAAGTATGTAAATCGGTTTCTACATTTTTAATACATAGTTACAAGTAAAGGTATATGCACGATAACAATATCCATACATGAACATCTGTGAGATCGGGACATGGGGTTTGCACCAGTTTCACTGCTTCCAAAATCCAAAGAGAACATGCCTCTTAATTTTTCAATTTTGTGCTTCAAAAGATGCTTTTGATTAGAATGAAATGATAAAAGTGCTAAAGAAACAGATGATAATTTATTTATTTATTACACTTTCTACATAGAGTACCACATCGGCTTATTGTTGATTGTATTACATTATTATATTTATACAATTGCTGGTTGGACTTTTGGTGGTGGAGGTGCCGGGAATTCACCAATCTTGTCCATGTAGTACTGGTATGCACGATATGGCCTCAATTCCCATGGGACCTGGTCTTCCATATTTGTAAGAGTGACGCCCAAATCTTCAAGAGTAGGCAGCCCTTTCACGGGCCTGTCTGTAGTTGCTTCCTATAAATAACCAATAATATAACATAAATATTTATCGCCTGTTCTTTCATATTTTTTTTAGTACATATATAGATTAAGACCTTTTTATAGCTTTTACGATTCCAGTTCTATTAAAGATGTGTATACTATGTATGTGAAGGACAGTGAAGATAAGTATTGTATAAGTGTTAGAGAATATACCATAATTTAAAATTATAAATATTCATGTAAATTTACCCTTTCCAGACTTTCCCAGGACAAATTTCCGAGTGGGTATGCGGGAGATACCATATTAATAGCAATCACTTTCAGAGGAAGAAGAGGATCATACTTCATGTCCATAATCTTAAAGCCCCAATTTTCGTCTTTACGCATTAGCTGGTAGAACCAGGTGACAAGATCACGCAATAAATATCTTTTAGGTCTGAAAAAAGAAATATGTTTAGATTATGATTGCTGTTTAGTGAGATGCAGCCCCTGGAGGAGTGTGTTATATTTTGATTTTATAATAGGTGAGGTGGGGAATCTAAAGTTATAAAAAATATTTTCAGGAAATGAAGATAAGGAGGTTAAAAATTACAACATAACTATACCAACCAATAATTATAAAGAGGTTAAGTTTGGATGTAGTTGTAATTTTCGAAAACTCATTCGATTAAAAAAATAAAAAAACACCATTACTTAAAAGGCAGTGGTAGCCCAGAGGTAACGCGCTCGCTTGGGAAACCGTGTGAAGAGAGTTCAAATCCCGGGTCTCGCACCTCTGATATTTTCATGTGCGAATCATTTCCAACATGATTACCACTTGTCTTAACGGTGAAGGAAAACATCGTGAGGAAAAAACTGCATGTCTGAGAGAACCTAGTAAGTTTTCAAAAGACATTTGAAGTCCGCCAACCCGCACTTGGCCAGCGTGGTGGACTATGGCCTGATCCCCGTCGTATTGAAGGGAGACCCGTGCCCAGCCGTGGGACGTTAAAAAGGGCTGAATACAATACCATTACTTAATATTAAAAATGTGAAAGTGTGTTTGTTTGTTTGTATTCCTTTCACGTCAAAACAGAGTGGTGGATCGACGTAATTTTTTAAATGGAGATAATTCGAGAGTGAAATAGCCCTGTTGAAAAATACCAATAGAATCCTATCAAAAGCGACAAAAGCCACATAGAAATCAATAAATATGTATTGGTTCCTATATGGCTTTTGTCGCTTTTGATGGGATCCTATTACTAGTTTATATGACATGCAATTATGGAACTCAGCCACAGGGTCTGGTTACGAAAAGCTTTCCCGTAACTGACCCGTGTATTGATTAAAAGTTCAATTTTCAGGTCCACGGCGAAATTTCTCGTACTTTTCGGAATTTTTACATTTACCTATAAATTTGATTGATTGATGAAAACGTTTGATTGAAATTTGTTTTTAGATAAAATAATAATAAATTCTCTTTTATTTTGCGTTCATTAATTTTGTATGACATCAATTTACGAAACTCGGCCACAGAGACTGGTGTCTGGTAAACACGTTATACATGTACGGGACTCAGATAGTTATTGATTCAAAAATGTCTTTTTTTTTAATATACAATTTTATGATTATTTAAAATTATGAATACTTACTATTTATTATTGATAGAAATAATTTTATTGTTTATATTCACAATTATAAATTAAATCGTATTATTAAAATTTTAAATATTAACGTGAATAATATACTTTTTTTTCTTTTTTTTTTTGCTTTTTTATCAAATTGATATCAATTTTCTTAATGAAAAGCAAAAACATGAACGCAAGTTAACAGAAAATAATTCAAAATAGTGAATTACTAACAACGTTGACTCCCAAAACAAAAAAAGTATAATGATTGTTTCATTTTAATTATTTTAACAATGTACTTATATAATACCACATCAGTTTTTTTTGAGTACTTATTTATAGATAAATGTAAGATCTGAAAGCTTGAACTAAATTTAATCGACCCACGGCTCAGCTACGGGAAAGCTTCCTGTAGACCCATAGATTGGGGTAATAGTCATTTGGAAAATAAAAACTTATTTCTACACACCCAATAGCTTGATAAACTTGGCATTTAGTGTCAGGATCACGTGCTGCATTGATAATGCCTTGCACTACATCCGAAACAAACACAGGCTGTTTGATTGTTTCTTCCCCTTTCTTGTATAGAGACAATATCTGGCTGTGAATGCGCAGGACATGAGCAAAGGATCTGGAATAGATATTAAATTATATTTAAGTAATAAATCACTGTAGTTGTTAAGAATGTTTTGTTTGTATGTATATTTGTTACTCGTTCACGTGGAGATAGCTAGACAGACGGTTTGTTTTTATTTTGGCAAACCAGGACTATGTAGGTAGTAAAACCGAACTGAACCATCCCTCTGTAATGGAGTATTGCAAGATCACTTACGCACTCAACCACGACGCCCGAAGGAGATTAAACAACCATGGGGTTGATCCCACGATCCGAAGTACCAGGCAACCTACCTGCATGATACACCTCGCGCCTCTCAATTCCTTTTTTTGACTAAACGCCTGGTTGTATTGCCGGACGCTAATGAGCTCTCCCACCGCGACAAAGTGAACACACATTAGGGTGAAAATAAACTATAACCTGGAGTAACACATAGGCTACTCGGAGCCTACTTAAGTCGAATACTTTGGCGCGCAAGTCAGACTCAAACTTACCAGATTTTAATATGTACATTTTTAAAGATCAGTGCAAAAATAAACTGTTGTATGTATAAAACATGAATATGAAAAACTAAAAAGTTTGTCTATTGGTAGTTTGCTTGTGCTAACGAGAGAGTACTTCTAATATAGACAGATCTAACTTTTTAAGCAAAACATAGTGCACTATTATCGAGTTATTTTATTAACGCTTGAGCTACCTGATTTTAATGATGAATAATGTTACTAAAATAAAAAAAAAAACATAAATACCGCACAAATCTATCTTCTGAACCGTAAATATCAGAAGCTCGTATGATTGTAGCAGTGGGAAACTCTTCCTTGACAGCTTGTTCTCCCAAATACTTGGTAATTTTCCACATAGATGGTTTCCTCATCACTAGAGGTGTAGGGTGCTCTTCAGCATTCAAATAAGATAAATGAATAAATCTCTCAACACCCATCTCCCTGCTAATTCTGAAATTAATTTATTGTCCAAATATTAATTAATTATAAGAAAATTGCAATAATAATGAAATCATCAAAGGAATTATAGAAAAGCTATTATGAGTGTTTTAATTAAAGTAGTGCTAAGAGAAAAAAAAATTACCTAGCAAGACGCCTAGCTCCTTCTACATTTACATCATGAAACTTGAAATTTTTAGTTTCATAGTCACGACCAACAAGATTAACAACAACATTAGAATAACGCACTGCCTTTGCAATAGATTCCTCATCACGCAAATCATATGGTGTAAACAAAACTTGACCAAGATCTCCACAAACTTTTAGTCTTTGAGCATCATAGAAATCACCTCTATAAGGCAAAATCATCTGTAAAGTATATAATTTTCTTAATTAAGAAAAATAAATTTTAATATTGAATATTTTTTATAAACAATAAAATAAAGTTGAAACATTTGAGAATCATATTATCTATTATTTAACATACCTGAGTACCAACTTTGCCAAGTTTGTTACACAAATAGCGGCCTACAAATCCTGTACATCCAAATACAGTTGCCACTACACCATTAAAACTACTACGTCCACCAGTTCCCCTCTTATAGGCGGCCAGATTAGGTTTTCCATCGGTGCTGTAGTGAGTCGAATTGATGTAAACAATGCTCATATATCCATTTTTAGCTGTTTATTGAAAATAAATATTGGATAGCTATAATAATAAATATCTAGCGGTAGTCATATTTATCTATTAACTACAGAAATTAAATACTTTAGATGTACATAGATTTTATTATTATTATGTGTCAATTATGAAGACAGGAATTATGTAAGAGTTTATTTATTTTCTAATAATAATATAATTAAAGATATACTTACGTAAGATTTTAGATGCCAAATGGCCTGTTAAAGCTACAGGAGCCATTTTCAGGCTTATATTAGATTTCTTTCCTTTCGAAAGACAAAACCCTAAAAAAATTAAAAACCTTCAATGCCTACTTTATTCAGCTGTCAATTTAAAGTCAAATGTCAATTAGGATCACAGGATCTGTCATCTGACAAGTGACAACATTTAATGAGATTTAAATTATTAGTCTGTTGACGTCCAGCAGATGTGGAACATTAAAACTATTTTGTAAAAATATGCATGAAAGTAGATTTTTTACCCTTTTTTCCAATTACAGAGCATAATGTCGCACAAACACGATCAACGCGAAGAAACACTTCTTACATTTTCTGCTACTGAGTTGGTATCCTTTGCGCGCATCACGCCAAAGCAGTACCTATCAAAGTGCTCGATTATACGGAGCGTTGCTGTAGTCATAAAATTCGAAGTTGAGCATCATGCTGCATAGTACGCTTAAGTGCTGGAATTGGAAAACGCCCCCGATACGTCGCTCATCTATGCATCCATCTGAGTGAAGCAAAGGTAAATAAAGACAACTACTGGTTGCACATTCCCTTTGTTCTCTCTTGCGCTTTTCCTTACATATTTTATTTACAACTGTCTAAATTACTATCAAGTTGTAAAAATATCGACGACTACAAAACGAACGAAAATACTAACGACTTGATACTTGATAGCAATTTATGATAGGTAAACACTAAGCATATTAGTTAAGTGTAAAGGCTTTTATAAACTCTAAGATTGATCCTTGTTGAGTTGAATTTGGCCAAAACTTGACTGTTAGCTAGGAATGGTATTATGCACATTTTGTTTTTTGTAACAATATTTTCACATATTGACATTTAAGCGAGATTGTTTTTGATCAGCACTAACGGTGTGGATAATTCCTTAGCTGCAAATATTTTTTTTATTATTCATCTATGGTATATAGACTTCTCGCTCTAAGGCTCTCGGCAAGACAAACCCTCGGCTTTTATTTGTCATTCATGCCCTCGGCGAGAAGGCAAGCTGACGGGAGTGTAACTATGTCCTCCATTATCATTTTTATTTGTCATCTATGATTATCATTTTGTTGTGACACTAAATTATGTCATATGTCATTTGACATTAGGTTTACTGTTTTCATTACAAAATCTTCAAGAAAATAAACTTCGACATTTAATATTGTTTGGTGTTAAATTTTAGAATTAATCTTATAATTTGAGCAACGAATAACCTTAAATATTACTTATATAATAAAATAAAAACAATGAACGAAGAAGAAATTACTATTATAAATGGTAATAATTACACCGAAATTAAACAAGTGTTACAAAATTTCTTAAAAACTGTAAGTAAATTATTATCAAATGTACAGCTTTAAGAATTTATAGAAGATATAATATTTTTTTTCTTTTATTACAGAATGATAATGTATTTACGTTTCCATTTTTATGCGAGAATAATAGACGTGTTTCATTGTGGGCAGCGCTTTTTCAACATCTACAAACAAAATCTTCAGAATCAGTGCACGTATTGTGTTTAGCAACACTTAGACTACTGAGGTTGGTTTGATAAATATACTACTGATTATATATTTGAATTTGTGTTAATTTTTAAAAATATGTCTTTTGTTTTCATGAATTATAGCCGAGACAAATGTGAACTAGAAAGTTTAATTTGTGAAAAATGGATTCTAATGCTCATTGAAATGGCAGGATTGTTTAATTTTGTGGATCCTGATGATACAATGGATGTTGATATGCCCATTAAAGAAATTGTAGTAGAGGCATTAAAATGTTTGTGCAATATAGCATTTAACAGTGAAGTTTCTAGAGCATTATGTGCACATACCAGTATTGCTCAAGGTTTGGTAGCAAGACTACGCTCATACAAGGAAATATCATTCAAAGAAGACATAATGTTGTATGACATGAAGTTATTGTTTATCTTGACAGCTTTAAGAAATGATATAAAAATAAAAATAAAAGATGAGCTACATGGAATGGATTATTTAATAAGCTGTTTGAATGAACTGGTTATAGAAGCATCAGATAATGAATGCGACATTGCTGGAAGCAGTGCTGTGGTTGAAGGGGTCCATAACTGCTTCCTAGGGGTAACGACTGTGTTTTACAAGATATTTTAAATTATTTTCATAAGCTTAATAACCTTACTTAAAGTATTGATATTATTGTTATTTTCTAATTTTGTGACAAATTTCATTATTTTAGGCACTATTTAAATAGATGTAATTAAAATACTTATTCACTTTTAGGATAATCAACAAGCAATAGTCTGTGAGATACTGAAGACACAGTTCAACCTTATGTTGCATTCGGGATCTGAAGAGCCTGTAAGTGAAGCTGAAGAAGGCATGTACTTGAAGTTAATGCCAGCTTTAACTACTTTGTTATATGCACATGCACCAACACAAGAAAAATTAATGGAATTGCACAGTAACATTGCTAATTTGTTGACAAGGTATGTTTTAAAAAAGAAACCTGATAAGATTTAATTAATTTATTATATCTACTTTTTTATTTTGTTTGGTAACATAAAATTAATTTCAATTATTTTAGAAAATTATTGAAATTTCAGTGTTCCTCCAGTATTTTATCAGTATTTGACTCCAGAGTTGAATGAGGGAGAGAAAGCACAATATGAATATGCTGGTAGAAACATGGATGCTTTACAAGCATTACTTCAACTATTGGAATATAGACTTTCAATAACACCAGTAAGTTTTTTTTTTTTTTAGTATTTATATAATTGATTTTTTTTGAGTATTTTTAATTGTTTTAGAAAATAGTAAAAAACTAATAATTTATTGGTAATAGTTTTTTTTTTCTTTTATTAATTTGGATGAAGATAAAGTAATGATTAATATTACATGCAAAGACTGTTTTTGTGATTTACCTCATATATGTATAGCTAGAGTGAGACAATATTAAAAATATAACTACAATATGGTGACAAAACTTACAATAATTTCCATTTCGAATTTTCGTATGTAATGTCTTGTGACTAAACTATTATAAAAAATTAAATAAAGTCATACAAAAAGATTTAATTCGATGGCTTCAAAACGTGCCAGTAAAGCACAGATTACATACAAAAACATGTAATACAACATTATTTTGGCTTTTTGGTTCATTTAACATTCATAAACTATTATATATATAGAATATAAACCATTTTTCTTTTTTTTTTTATTACAGAGCACTAAAAATCAATATGAAAACCTATCTCCCATATTAACAGTATTAAATAAGAGCTCCCGAGGTTGTAGAGCTCAAAGAAAGTTTCTAAGGTTGGCAGTACTACCACCATTGAGAGATGTCTCTCGACCACCTGAGAAGGGAAATACCCTGCGGAATCAATTATGCAGACTTCTAACAACTCCCGTTACATCTGTCAGAGATCTTGTGGCTGAGTTTCTGTTTATTCTTTGCAAGGAAAAAGGTAAGTTATATATTATTGTTTTATTCTCTTCAGAAAGAATTGTAACATTCTCAATGTTTTTCTTTGTTTAGTAATTTTTTGGAGCTCAGTTTATTTGCAGATATCGCATATTGTTCTGTTGTATTAAAAGTACAAATTAGAAACATCATTGTGAAATTGAAACCCAGGCTTATTGTATTATATAAACCGTATGTACGTACAACCATATGTTCTTGAAACTAAAAATACACAGGCAAGTTAATGAAAGGTCATAAAAATCAAGATCATTTATACGTCATTTAAACGATAAAGTTTAAGCTATTTTTCTATTGTACCTCACTATGGTGTAATACATTGGTTTCGGCAAAGCAGTTCTACACTAAGCATAGAAGGAGTATTTGGCAGCCTTCGAGAAAAGCGTGGGTTTATTCGTTTAATCACCCGTTTAAGGGTTAACATGATGGTATTAAAGCAAATATTTTATTTTATCCCGCTAGTGGGTCGTATGGTGAAATACACGGGTTTCGGTAACGCGGCTGGACACTTGGCGCAGAAAGGATTAATGGGCAGCAGTCGAGGCCCGGTCATGTATTCTTCTAGCAGTGAGGATTCTGATACAGAAGAATATCTAGAAGCACAACCCCGGATAGACCCGGTTGTGGGGTGTACTCGACCACCACGCATCAACCCTTTCGAGGGTATGACGGATGAACAGGTAAATAAATGTAATCGATACAGATAAAAACTATATTTCACTCATGAATAAAAAAAAACTGTAATTTAAATAAAACAGGTTTTATTCATTAAGTACTTCATTAAAGACTTCCTATACTTATGAAAAAGTCTTCAACATCAGATGTAGCTAGTACCACGCATAATGCATATATTTGTCATACGTGCATAATGTTTTCATTTTCATATTTATTTTCTTGTTATGAAAAATTATCAAAAACTTTGTTGTGGACTTTAAAGACAAGCTTACTTTGTGGTTTGTTTCAAACCTCACAAACGGCAACCGCAAACAGACTCCTTTCCGTGGTAAGGAGGATCGAGATTAGTAAGTAAACGTAGTTATACAAAGGTTATAAAAAGGATAATGAGTGACGAATTTTAATCATCGTCATTTTGAGTTGAGTCTTTAAAATTTCTTGTCACTTTTGAGCAAGAAATATTCAAGTAAAATTAAATCAAATAAAGTTTATATTAAGTAAGAAGAAAAAAGGGGCCATTAGCATAAAAGAAGAAGATAATTCTTATCTCTAATTAAAACTATTTTAGTAAGGTTTTTTTTTAAGTTAAACTCAACTTGATAAAAAATTATTCTGTTTTACCTTCGTAGAAATAATCTCCATTCAACATAGCCATATTGGTATTTCTTTGATGAATAATGCTGACAGAATATACATATCTATTTGATTGGGTAATTAACACCACTAACACTACCGCGATTCGCCCATTGATTTTGTATGGTAATAGCAGTCTGTGATGTCACGTATTTGCCAACTTGATTTCAAAGTAATTATTTTTTTTATTTTACAGAGCTAATATAAAGTGTTTTTGGAGTAGTTACGTCTTGGAATTAATGGTATAAATTATCCAATTGCTTATACGTCGAACACCTGAACAGATCTTCATAAATTATACTTAAGAACCATCTCGATCACGTCAGCTTTCTAATAAAAAAAAACCGTATCAATATCGGTCGAAGCCAAGTGAAACGGGTTCAAATCCCGAGTCGCACGTTTTTGATTCAAGTGCGAATCATTTTCAACATAATCACCATTTGTCTTACGGTGAATAAAAACAAAGTGAAGAAACATGCATGTCTAAGAGAACCTCGCAAGTTTTCTTGGAACGTTTAGAAAGAGCTGAATATATACTTAATTTAATTTCCAGAAGGAATACGAAGCGATGAAGCTCGTGAATTTGTTCGATAAGATGCTATGCGAGGGCATTGTAAAGCCGGCACGCATCGGGCCGGACGGGCGGCCGCAGCCCGTGGAGCACGTGCTCGAGATGCGGGAAACCCCCAACAGACAACAGTCTTAATTGTAAATATTGTTTACATCCCATTTATTTAAGCTAACCTCACTTTGAATATGGAATTGTATCCTTTGTATTTCTTTTATTAATATTATTGTGTTGTCAAGCCTCGGAGAGCACGTTAAAACTTACATAAATCCTACGCCTGATCTCTCACCGTAAGTGTCGAATAGTTGTAGTTGTGTATTGAGTTTGATATATATATATATATATATATATATATATATATATATATATATATATATATATATATATATATATATATATATAATGTAGTGATTAGCCAATGTAAAAATGTACCCAACTTTCCAAGTTGGCTTAAAGGCTATATTATTATTATTATTATTGAGTTTGAGAGCGCACGTTGCGCGCTTACACTTGTGCACAATACCTCCTGCGCAGTTGGCTAGTCTCAATGAGATTGGCCGCCGTGGCCGGAACCGGTCAGGAGGACACTATTATTATCGATTCCATTCTATTCGATTCTACCTTACGCGATATTTTCACTAATTTTTAATCGATTTTCATTAAAAAAATATTTATTAAATGAGATAACTTTATCGATGGTCTCATGTAAATTTAATCTAAAAAATCCCTTATAAAGTGATTTTTAAAGTGTTTAGTTAAAAACTAAAAAGTAATTAAAGTTTAATATGTTAGTACTTATTTTAAGATTTATTTGTTTGTTACTAATTACGGAATTAGTGATATTTACCGGTCTTGCATTCATAGGAATGCTTATACTTTTGACACCTTACTATAGTTGAGCTAATATGTATTGTAGTTTTTGTTAGATTTGTATTGTAGACTCCTGTATTTGATAGATTATCACGTTTTTTGCTAATATCTAGATTAGCAATTAAAATAAAAAAATATCTTATTTCGTCATAATTCAAAGCCAATTTTAAACGAAGTCTATCTTATGATCCCCAATTTATGAGGTCGATACACTGCCTCTGTGCCATATGCTTACCTTGAGAATATGTTTTATCATAAAAATTTTACATCTAATAAAATGAGAATGAAATATTCAAAGTGCGTCTAGCTTTATTATATTCTTTTTTTTATTTAAACACATACTTTAAATCGATTGTATGGCTTTTTTGTCATTTAATTTAACTCTTGGTACATAGGGTCTTGTAGATCATATTATTAAATTTACCTAGAATGATCGGCAAACATCTTGAGAATAAGCGCGGTGTGATTTGCTTAAATTAGAGTACTATTCGAAGTCTAAAGCATTCTTTGAGTTGTTTGCCTGTCATTGTAATTGATTTGTTTTGTGTAAAATGTTATTTTCAATTATTATTATATTAAATTTTGTCTACTTTATTTCATTTTACTACGTGCTTACACAAATGTAACATATATAAACTAAACACTTTAATATTTGACATTGAAAATTAATAGAAACTTAAAAATTTAACAAGAAAATTTAATTGAATTCAAATTTGAAATAATTAAGTGGTCTCTATATCTACATTTATAAAATGTCTTAATATTTTAAATTTTTGATTACTATTAAATAATTCAATAAAAAGTCACTGAAAATTAAAAAAAATAACTCGATTTAAATAAAACTATCTTTTCGGGAGTCACGGGAGCGTGAATGATGAAAAATTAGTTCATTTAAAACTTAATAAATTTCTATTTATGTTTAGTACAAATTAATATTTTAAGTGAACTTTTAGAGCACGTAGTAAATTGAATTTAAAAAATGAAACTTATATTAATTTTTTGCTTTTTGGATAATGCGGGGTCGGTGGGTGGCGGTCCTTATGTCTTAATAATAAATATTTAAATAGGATTAATTTACAATATTATTAACAGATTAATTTTATTCTTGTCTATGACACAAAATACATTTCACAATAAAAATATGCTATACATACTATATTATGACGTAATGTGAGAATAAATTTGTTGTTTTATAACATTTTAGCCTAAGTAGTATGTAGTTCTTCGGTGTAATAAATTGTAAAGCTATTTCTCTTTTCAACTTATTGCTAGTAAAATTTTACGAGACAATTGTTATTTACATATTATGTAGCTGCAATATGACTTTTATTTATTTATTTATATTTTATTGTAATGGAGGACATTTTATTATTTTTAGTTTTACAAAATGTATGTATGTTTAGTACAATTAAAACATTTAAGGAGCCAGTTAAAAGCTCTATCTAGGAAATATCCATAAACAAGTACAACCTTATATACTTTAAATTGCCTATAATTTTATATATTTATCGATATTACTTATTTTACAGTTGTATTTCTATGAAAAATAGATTATTTAGCTGCCAAAGCTTTATTAACTTACTCCTTTATTGTTTTAGTGGACTAGATAAAATTTGGACTGTATTTGAAAATGTAGGAGAAAAAAGAGTTGTGTTCTTATATTAGTCGTAACTCGTAGTGGCATTTCTTGTTTTCCATTTACAAGGCAAAAATAGTGAAAACTTTTGAAATGTGAATTAAGGTCACATACACCTTAATTATAACTTAGCGCCTTAAAATTTTTTTAGCGCCATCTTAAATCTAAAATACGTGTTACGTGATGGCAAACCAAAGACTACGAAATACAAAGAGAATTGAAACGTTTATACAGGGCCGGATTTAGGGGAGCGAGAGCTGGGCTGCACCGTTTATGTTGGCAAAATTCGTGGCAAACTAAAGAAATATGTTGATGTTATGAATAAGTATATTTTGTATTTGGATTTATTTTGATTTTAAATCATTGAAGAACCAAAAATAAAACGGTCAAGTAAATTTGTTCGTTATATTGCACCCTTGTAAATCTGGCCCTGCGTCTATACATCTCGTTTATGTAGACTAAACCAAAGTATTGTTCTACTGTCGAACAATTTATAGACTATAGTCTAGTACTATTTTAGACAAAGTTTTAATAGCTTCAAATATCGCTAAAAATCTTTAGACGGACCTAAAATTTTTAACATCTGAACTAGAATAGTGTTACTAGTATTAGTAAGTTTTCTTACAGAATGATTAGGTATTGAAATATTTTCAATAATATTTTATTTGATGTATATCTTTTTTATATCTCATATCTTTTAAAATAAATAGTTCACACTAAGGCAAACATTTTAATATATTAATCGTACGTGTTTATCTGTATTTTGGGTATTTAATGTCTTTACCTAAGCTTTAAGAATGTATTTCTTTATTAATAAATAATGAAAAAAATATTATGCATCTTTACTGATCTAATCATCGTTATCCTTATTCGTCTTAATTTAACATTTAACAAGAGTATTTTTTATAATACTCGCTCTCGTTCTACATCGAAAGTTTTTAAGATGAACAATGAAACAGATGAACAAAAACCAAATTCTTAGGTTTTACATATTAGTATACTCTTACATTGCAGTTTTGCATTTTTTCTCAGAAATTACATATTTTTCCGCGGTAAAAAGTATCCTATATGTTGACCCGAATAACCAGCTATAATCATACCAAATTTCATCCAAATCTGTCCAGTGGTTATCTCATGATGCGGTAACAGACAGACAGATAAAAATTCCAAAAACTATAGATTCGGACTCTGTATCGATAATAATATCTATTTCAATAAGATTTTCCAAAAAATATTTAATGTACAGATTCGACTTAGTTACGATTTTATTATATGTATAGATATGTAAATAAAAATCAAGTACATATCAGTAAATCGTTAAAAAGTACCCCTTACGTTTCATTTTTCCATATCGCAAAGTCCCAGTTAAGCCTCGCTAGGCTCGAAGGGCGGGCGGATTTCAGGCGCTCGTAAAGCTTTCATATAACTGCGCTTAATATTTTTTTCGGATATTAAATAATTCGTAATAAAATAACAATCAGTTTTAAAATGTTAGAAATTTCATAACAATTTAAAGTAAGTATTGGTAAGATTAATATGTAGGTTAGTGACCTTTCTTTGTTTGAGCTTTCGAGCCTTTGTTGTTAAGTAGGATTACCTACTTCTTATTAGATTAGTCGGTGTTTTATTACAATGTGTCATTTCTGGTGTTATGGTTATGTCGAGTTACATTTAGGTTAATTATAAAGGTTTTTGTTTTCTAATATTCATTTCTTTTCTTAGTTAATGATATAATATATTTGTAAATACAATTAAAATTAAACAAAATTTTTGACTTTACATATTTAAAAGCTTTTTTTTCTACTAATACTAATATTTTCATTAGAAATTAATTCTTTTCAATAAGTATGTAGTATTATTTACGTTGGTTCATACTTTATTATAGAATTCGATAGTAATATAGATTTCGATAGGCTTTTCTTCAATTACTCCTGTTAAATTATATTTTCTATGCTGAGCAAGATAAATTTTGGTTTAAAATTTTTGCACCGTTCAGTTTCGAGCTTACTTCCTACATCCAAATTTACAAAACTTTTTTACATAAATATTCCAAGAACAGCTGGAACGAATTCTTTCAAATATTAATTATTAAAATTTTCAAGTGTTATATATATTGCCATTACTTAAAACTTAGGTGGTATACATCATGCTACTGTTTCTTGCAATATTTGTATTGGGGGAAGCGAGTGCTAACACAACAGCGACGCCAGTGTGTGAACGTGCACCGCCGCATGCGCAACCTGCCGATGCCCTTTACAAAATAGGTGTCGCGGGCGACCCAGATTTGTTCCTACCGGGAGAACTTTACACTGGTAAGTTTAAGTATAGTTAATAATAATTATATATTCATAAATTCATATTTCAATATTTTACATATATTTTTTTTTATTTTGAGATGAAAATATTTACTACTAACGGCTCAACCTCGCTTTGCTCGGGTTCGCTCTAGATAAACAAAACGAGTTATCCTACAGAAACCGTATATTCTTCCGGGATAAAAGGTGGCATATGTGCTATTCCAGACTATAATCTTTGTGCCAAATCTCATTCAGATCCGTTCTTGCGAGTTCTTGCGTGATTGAATAACAAACATCCAAACATCTAACTTTCACATTTATAATATTAGTAAGATTTACCCGTTTCTCCTTTAGTACGAATTGCGAATACATTATTGATTATTTTTAACGATAATACTAATAAATTTTAATTTATTAGTATCCCTACAAGGAGTTGATAGTGGACAGGGTGCAACACCGTTCGTAGGCTTTGTAATATGGGCTGAAGTAGTCGAGGATTCGGAAAATGAAAGTATAAATAGTACTAAAACAGCTAACAGTTTGTCGTATGGAACCTTCCAAGCGTATGACGCTCAAACAAAGACTCTTGAAGCGTGTAATCCTGCTGTAGATAATACGACAGCTCATCCTAAAACTGAAGTGCAAGTAAGTACTCAAGATTAAAGCCTTATTTTGTACCCGCTGGGTATTTAAATTTTAAATTATTTGGTAACTATCGATTCCTGTAAGTGAATATTTTATTTTAACATTTGTTTAACATATATTATGTATATTATGTCTAACTGCAGGGGATATAGTATGCGACAATTTGCAATCTTAGATAAGCTTGCATTAATAATATTTGTAATACATTATTATTGCAAGCTTATCTACGTAACGTACGTAAGTTTTAAATAAAAAGTAAAAAGTTTTAAAGAAAGTAGGTATTATAAGAAAGTATTAAACGTACGTAAGATTGCAAAATCATATAGAATTTAAAAATATTTAATAAATTTCATCTTTATTTTGATTTAATAATATTTCGTTTAATAGGTGATATGGAGTTCGCCATCCATTTTAGTGGACACTTGTGTACGGCTGTGTGCCCGCGCGTCGAACGCAGACGGCACTAAAACCTCTGTTCTGGCTCGTAAATTATGCCCTGCGCCGATCGCAACTGTCAGTCTCAATAGGCAACCGCTAATAGTTGAACCTTGTTGCGCTTGTGATGAAGCTAAATATGAGGTATGTAAGAGAAATAAATGCCAATATACACGTATATTTTTTTTTTAATATTTTGTTTTTATAGCACAGGAAGAAACTCATAAAAGTTAAGGAATAGAGATTTTTATCTAAGTAACAGTAACTGTAAAATTGTAAATATATTTACTATTAGCGACTCACCCTCGCTCTGCTCGGGTTCGTCCCTACTTACGTTTTAATGTTGAGTATAGATTTCTCAGAGATGAGATATTTGCCCGCAATAAAAAGTATCCTATATATTGACCCGGATAATCAGTTATCATCTTTCCAAATTTCATCAAAATCCCTCCAGTGGTTTTTCCGTGACGCGGTGACAGACACACAGACAGACAAAAATTATAAAAACTATAGATTCGGCCTCTGTATCAATAAAAATGTCTATTTCAATGTGATTTTCCAAAAAATATTTAATGTTCAGATTCGGCATAGTAACATTTTTTTTTGTTTTACCTCAATCTATTTAGGTTACCTTTGAAGGTTTATGGAATAGAAACACCCATCCACGAGAGTTTCCACCAGAAAGTGCACGCGCACATTTTGGCGACGTAATAGGAGCATCTCATACTGCTCAGTATCGAGTTTGGCAAGAAGGTAGAGTTGCTAGTAATGGCGTTCGTAGGTTAGCTGACGATGGCACTACCACGGCCCTTGAGAAAGAACTTAAAGCAGAAGTAAGATTTTAAATTATTTACTCACATACATATATATATGGCTAATTCATGCAAAATCATATTTCTAATACTTTTTTCTCTACATTAGAATTGAAACATTAAATTATAAAGAAGACAATACAGAATATGTTTTATTATATAATTTATTATTGTTTTAGAGCGACCATATTCGCACAATAATTAAGGCAAGAGGTATATCTTGGCAACAAGTAGCTGGTTCTGGTATACCTACCACCTTTGCAGTATTTCGAGTTGATGCTAAACATCATTTGGTTTCTTTAGCTGCAAAATTAGCGCCTTCCCCCGATTGGATAGTTGGTGTGTCTGCTTTAGAACTATGTAATACAAACTGCACTTGGAGAAGATCTGCCATTTTACCCCTTTATCCTTACGACGCGGGCACCGATAATGGTATTAGTTATATGGTTAGTACCTATTTTGATGTTTAAAGTTCATCAAATTTGATTGAATTTATGATTTGTGCTTATTAAAAAAATATGTTCTGATTTAAAATATTAAAAAAAAAATTTTTTAACTTATAATTATAAAATACAATCGCGTCAAATCGAGACGGATATTTATATTTCTCGTACTTACTACATTCTGTTTTTATTGTTATTGAAATTTATAGTCTCCATTTTGTTATTACTAGTCTCGCCGTAGTCCTACGATCCCACCATCGCCAGTTAGAGCGTTACGTCCAGAATGGCCGAAGGATTCTCGCTCTCCCTTTTATAGTTCCACCGGGGAAATGCGACCTTTTGCCAGACTTCGACTGACCAGACTAAGATTATATGAGAAGAGCTGTGAAGTGTCAGGTTCAGAATTGTTTTTTTTTAATTTTAATAATATTATATATCGGCTTATAGTTAGTTATAGGGCATTATTATCGTAGTTCTAAACTTAGAATAAGACCCAAACTCCAAATAAATTTTATTCAAAAAACTTTTACTTGCATGCTAATTATTATTTACGTCCGACCTCGAAAACAGCTTCGCTATAAAACGCCGACGAGAAATGCGTCAGTGACTAAACGTGTAAAATTTCTCAAAATATTATTGCAAATATTACTTTTACACAATAATAGTATAATATACAAAAGCTCGAATTGTTGTAAATTATTAATATTTTAGTCTAAGATCCCGATATATGTGGTGGGCCCCTCACTCTTTTTCTAGACGAAATATATTTTTTAAACAATAAGACATTAACAAACACGGCCAGGGCGGCTGTTTCCAAAAAATTGCTCCAGGCTATTTTTTATTAAAAAACCTCTAGTCCGGAGACGTTTCGGTACCCTATATGATTAAATTTGTAATAAAATTAAGTACATTTTGATAATTGATTGGTTCCGGAAAATACGATGCGATACGAGCAATTAACTACTTCAATTTACCTTATACTTGGATGTTACGTAATGTGGATTAGAAAAAGGCCGCCAACCGTATGATGGCAGTTTTTACACGTCTTTTACTGTCAGTTGATACTAAGTTGTCACTGGATAAGAGTTCTAGTACTTAAAAAAAATATTTTTTTTTTAAATAGCCTGGAGCAAATCTTTGGTGACAAACCCCCTTTTTTAACGTTGGGAAATGCATTTACGCACGAGGTGTGGGACTCACCGGCAAAGCCAGTACTACCCACTAAAACCCAACAAAACCTTCCCCCGTTTTAATGGGGTGTCGCAGGATCGCTTATGCATTCAACTACGACGCCCCGACGGCAGGTCTGCCGAAGCAGACCACAACAACCATGGGGTTGCTCCAAGGTCCATTCTGCTATCAGAGAAGTACCAGGAGCAACCCCCTGGGTCGTGTCTGTTAACATGTTATATTGTTTAAAAATATATTTCGCCTGGAAAAATTGTGAGGGGTCGACCACATAGATCGGGATCTCCTACTATATTTAAACAGTAAGTAATAATTGTATTACGAGTCCTTAATAACGTGATAACTAAGAATATATTTTATATATAACTTATTATGTCAATTTATTGACCTTCATAGAAACCGGAGGTGATAAACCTCCAGACGATACAGTAGGGGGCCCGGGGGGCTCGTGCGCGACCCACGCGTGGGGTCCGTGGGGCCCCTGCAGCGCGACGTGCGGCGCCGGCCGCGCCGCGCGCCAGCGACACTACATGTGGCCTGTCAGAGCCAAAACTGACTCTTGTAGAGTTGCGCTTACTGACTACCAAAGTTGTAATGGGCCGAGGTTACACTGCAGGTACACTGCAAAATAAATAAGTTTATAGATTTTTTGTTATTTCGACGTACAAACAAAAGTATTTACATACATATGTATTATTTTATTTACATAATCTAGCAATATAAGATATTCAAACATTATTTTCTTCTCTCTGCCCATTTCCCAAGTTACTTGGGCTCGGCACAGTTAGTCTTTTTCTTCCATTCTCTACTACATTCAATTCCATCATTCTTATGTACATTATGTCTCTAATATGATACATAATATGTGGATCCAATTTTAATAAATTTATTATTATGTGTGTTCCATTTTAAAATTTAATACATATTCCCTGTTATTAAAATATAATTTTATGACTTAGACACGACATAACGTTATTTTATATTGCATTGTAAGAGTATGTTATAAAGATTTCATAATTCCTTCAATGCCTCACCAGTGTGAAATTTTTCGCACACTATCGTGACAGCTAAGCACGGAGTTTAATCTATGATTTCCGGCGTTTCGAATGCTTTACGTCAATCATGTCTCATAACACAAAATACGTAAATATACGAAGGAAAAGAAAAGACTTATTTAGGTTGTACTACTTTGTTTACGAGAAAGTTAGCTTTATTTGAGCAATAAATAAAATAAATAAATAATTATAAACAATTTAATTTCGTTAACAAAAGATAGACATACTCGTAGAAGTAGAGTTATATCGAGATAGGTACGGATGGACTGTGTGGTAGAGGATATGTGTGGGAAAGGTGTCGCTGAGATGAAGGCCGATAAAGGGAAATGGAAGAAGGAAACATGTCGTGTCGACTCCATTTAGCTAAAGATAAGGACAAGGAAAAGAAGAATTTAATTGAATGAACAGAGTGCAGTCTGAGTACGAGCGCGACCCGGCAGAGAGCACGGGGCCGTGCGCCGTGTCGCCGTGGTCGGCGTGGTCGCCGTGCGCGGGCTGCGGCGTGCGCGCGCGCACCCGCCACTACGTCGCGCCGCGCGCGCACAAGCGCTGCCACGTCGGCTTCCGGGCGCGCACCGTCATGAGCCAGGCCATGCCGTGTGATGCTGGGCCGTGCTACAAGTTAGTTATATTTGTACCTCGTTGTTCTCTTATCTAATAGTTAACATGTAGGTACCACGTATGGCTGTTGATCCAGAGATGGGTTCGACTCCCGGGTCGATCAAATGTGATTATTGGGGTTTTCTGTCAAAAAATGTGAAAAAGAAGTTGGTGGTGTTGCACTCCCCGGGCCTCGGAGATATTCTGCGCCTAATCTCTAACCGGTCGTCGAATTTTCGTCCTACCGGAGTTTGAGAATGAAAAGAATAGAGAGTAAGTATACTAGTGTCTGGGATTATACTTAAAAATAATTAATAATATTATAGCATCTTTCCTATTTCGTTTGAAATGAAATAATCTTTTTTTTAATATTAATTACTTATTATTACATTTATTTCTGCTCAGACCCACTGGAGACTATGCCAACGTTACTAACTTCGATTGGTTTTACATAGTAAGTATACATAGAACGATCAATAACTTAGTGAATTATAATTATATATAATTAGTTAACAATAAGTTTTTTAAAAGATGATGTATAAATTTATATTTCTCTATGATTAGTGGAACTTTAAAGAAATTTGTAAACTTTTATTAGGACAATCCTCGGACAGACTGTCCCGTGACGTCGTGGGGCGGGTGGTCGCCCTGCTCCAGCCGCTGCGGGCGCGGCCGCAGGATACGCACCCGCCTGTACATGTCGCGGGACTCGCAAGTGCAGAAACAACTCACTAAAAAGTTATTACGAGATTGGAATATGCGGTTTGCTGAACTTCAGAACCTTGTAGGTCATATGTATATTACACGTAACTATAATTTTATTTGAAAGAAATCAATGTTTGAAATTTCATTGGCTCTTCTTAGAAGACTTCCATTTTAAGAGAAAGACTTTCACCTCACGAATTGACGTTACTAACTTTTAGTATAGATAGTAATCTGGCCGGATATAAAGATTTACAATATATAAAACTGTTCTGATTGACGTTCAAGCACTATTGACATTATAGTGTATCAAACAACTTGGAGCTTAGTAAAATGATCAATATAACTAACACTCGATCAATATTACGTAACACATGAAAATAAAATGCTAGTAAAATTGTTCTTATATTCTGCTAGGAATTACCATATGAAAATGTAACCAGTGAGGACCCAAGAGTTGAATCGCTTGTACAAGAACATCTAGATCGTTGTCAGTACACGATGACTCAACAAGAAGCGCTGTGCGATGGAGAAGACAATAGTTGTGAAAATGAAACTGTCTCTGCAGGTAATATATATTATGTAGTAACAAGTATTTATTCAAATTCAAAATATTTTATTCAGCATTAAATTACTACTACTAGTACTGTTATATTACTCTATTTGATCAATAAATACATTATTAATCACTATAAACGTACAATATTTATGTACGAGTCTTATGGTACCTATACATATGGTTTGTGATATATGGATTTTTTTGAAAATTTTGCACATACAGTACATTTTAAGAATATATAATAAGATTCAATAAGAATCATCTAAAGCATGTATTTTTTTTGTCTGTCCATTTTAAAAGGAAAATACTCGGCCTATGACATTTCTATGAGATTTCTATGACACTTATTATTATTGTACATAAAAGTAAATTATAAACAGGTTTTATTCCATTCAAAAATGGTGCAAATCTTCTCAAACCATGAAGTAAATCTAATCAAAGTTACTCGTAATGTCTAGCATGCTCCAAAGAACGAATGATCCCACACTGGCGTAGTGGCCAAGTGAGTGAGGGTTGGCGGACCTCACATGTCCTTTGTTAGGTTATCCCAGCCATACAGGTTTCCTAACGATGTTTTCGTTCACCATAAGACAAGTGGTAATCATGTTGAAAAAACAAACAAAACGAAACATGGTACACATATCTATGCTTTTTTAACTGCATACATATGTATATCCGTGTAGAATCCACGCGAGATCGTTCAAAAGTCGTTATGTACATAGGCCCTGAGCTGTTAAAAATTGTTAGAGGTGTGCAATATGCCGGTGTCCGTGGGACATTGTCGGGGCTACGAGGAGCGCTGGTTCTATGACTCCTCACGAGCTGCTTGCGAACCGTTCGGCTATACGGGGTGCGGAGGAAACTCTAATAACTTCAAGAACAGGGAAATCTGTCTTCGAGCGTGTTTAATGAATAATGATACAGACAACAGTAGTGGTAAGTCATATTTCTTAAATAATCTATATTTCTATTATAAAGATTAAGAGTTTGTTTTCATTTTTTTTATTATAGCCTTTTAACCGGGGTTACAGGTTATCTAAAATCATGACCTTTAGAAGCGGAGCAATTATGTATGTATAATTACGCAAGTAGAACCGCAGGAACAAGTTAACACTTAAAATTCCTGCAAATTCATGAGAATAATCTTGTTGTAAGGACAAAGTAAACAGTTTAAGTTTTTTAGTTTGAATCATAGTTCAACATAATTCTTCCTTATTTTAATTCTATCATTTCTACTTATTTAGATCGACTCGTTATCATGTATTCATTTTAAGCCTACAACTGTTAAATGTTACGATAATCTATGTCGCAAAAAGATCAAAAAACCACTAACACGCTCTAATTGTCATTATCAAAAGATTAAGCAATTCGTCACCGACATCTAATCTTTTGTGATTGCTACCGAAAGATAATAATATTAAGATTATTATTTAAATAAATTAATAAATTGAATGAGGTAATATTCATTAATTTAAACGCTTTACCGCGCCGATTAGAGATTACAATTGCGATAAGAATGATTGAGGCTTTTTTTTTTTATTTAAAAAGTCTCTATGTATTATATTTATTACTAAAAAGCTGTTATATAATGAGATAAATATGAAAATTTTACCACAAAAATCAGTTTTGGTATAATTTGGGACCCACCCTATTGTTTTTATTATGTTCTTCCTAACATACTGAGATAATACGTGTCCATCCGGTTTCTGCGACCGTAGTTATTAACTTCATCTTTCTGATATAATCTAATTCACTTTTTTTTTTAATTTTATTAACTACTACTCTTAATCCAAATCTGTCCAGAAATTTTAGCATGTGGAAGTAATAAATATACAAACTTTTCCATATATATATATATATATATATATATATATATATATATATATATATACTAGCGGACCCGACAGACGTTGTCCTGTCTACACGTCTTTAATTTGAAAATTTCAAACTTTTTTTAATAATTTTTTTGGTTGAAAATTATTATTCAAATTGTGAATCTAAACCATTCCCAGATCCCCTTGAACACACACAAAAAATTTCATCAAAATCGGTCCAGTCGTTTGAGAGAAGTTCAGTGACATACACACTCACAGAAGAATTATATATATATAAAGATATATATGTATACATTAGTAGACCGATATAGTTTACATTCTATGTGAAAATGGCAAAGGTAGAACACCTTACATTATAAAAAAATTAAATATCACGAAAGTTATTTCTTGTTAATAATTATAATAAAAATGTATGTACATCAAAAACTTAATAATATTACATATTTTATATAATGTTTTAAGTTTAAACAATATTATTAGTAAGCAACGAAAAATCCATTACATTTTTATTTTAAAATTAAATATTTTTTAAGATACACCGTCTCTGTTAGAGGCAAATATGAAAAGAATAAAAGCAACCCCGTCGACCGCAGACAACGAAGTTATACAAAACGACGCGCCCATACCTGGTAAGCGGAATCAATGTTATGTTTAAGCCAACAGCCAAAAAGAATATTTTATATTACCATATCTTTTTGCTTTTATAAAATTAAAATTTGAATATAACTGGTTGCAAAGAATCATTGCGATAGTTTATTTGCTTGAAACGGAATAACTGAGATTCATATAGGCACCAATGTAGTTTCTTAGGGTTCCGTACCCGAAGGGTGTCACCGTCAGTCCGTGCGTCTGTCAGAGGGCTGTATCTCATGAACCGTAATAGGTAGAGAGTTGAAATTTTCACGTTCGTAATCGATCATCGAAGTTAATATACTAGATATATACATAGAGTAAACGTCATATTAATAAAAAGTATATGTACGATGGTACTGAACCATTCGTGTGCGAATTCGACTTGCGCTTGATCGACTCTTCATTCGTAGTTTGAGATTTTCATGTAAGTTTTCGAAGATTGTAATAAAAACTTTTTCGTGAAATATTGAAATAAACTTACGTCGACTCGGTTTAGTGTTTCTTGTTGAGCTTGTTTATTGGTTATCTCTTATTTACACTTTTCATATTGACAGTACTTAAATACACATTTTTCTGGAGTCAATGTGACTTTGCAATACTGTGCTCTTGACAAGAGCTCTGTAACTATTGGACTTGATATTAAATAAATAAATATATTTGGCACGAACACACAGCACCATATAGTTCCATGGTAAGCTACGAGGCTTGTGTTATGGATACCAGATAGTTGATACACTACACATATATAACTTTAAATATATACATATTATAAATATAAACACCCACGAGTTGAGTACAAACAGTCGTGCTCATCACACAAATGAATCAGCGGGACTCGAACCCGCGACTGATGGCACTGCAAGTAGGGCCACTACAAACTGAGCCGATCATGTTGTCTAATATTATGAAAAGGAACAAATATAACCAATTATACTAAGACTTAAACTTAAAAACATGCGATATTAAATCGGTTGTCATTGTTTTGAACAATACAATAATCATTTTAACGATTATTCATGTTTGTGTGTTGTGGGTGTCAGAAGACGTCAACTGTGAGATGGGTTCGTGGCTGGGGTGGAGCGAGTGTTTCGGAGATTGCGAGTTCGCTGTCAAACTAAATTATCGTCATATTGTGGTATGTTTAAACTGTTTATTTACAGTATCCTTAAAAATTATAATATTATTTATATTATATTGTTTTGTTACATAATTTACAAAGCTGAAATACATATATAAAAATAACATTCATTTAACCGACTTCAAAATAATGGGGAGTATTTTCTTTAAGTCAGAAATTTAAATGGTCAAGATAACCTTAATAATAAAGACAATGATTAAAATACATTCGTAAAACGGAAGAGAATGAAGACATCGCTTAAACCAAATTTAAAATACAGTCGAAAGCAATCTTCCGCCTTTTTTGAGGTCGGCTAATGTACATATAAATAATATATGAATAAGCCAGTGTGGCATTACGAACGCGCTTAATTTATAACTCAAAGGTACGCTCTTTATAAGATAAGGGAGATGAGGAATTCCATCAAGGACTTGTACCCTTCATGCACTTTATACTCAAATAAGATATTAAAATGATAAGATATATATATAAATGAACGCTGATATTGTAGATATTTATTCCCATACATTTCTGTTTAAAATTTCTGGGTTATATATAAATAAAAATTCAAAATTCAAAATATTTTATTCAGCATTAAATTATTACATTTTTTTACTGAACGTCATGAGTCTACTACCAGTTCGGAAAGAAGAAGCCTCAGACCTAAGAAGAACTGACGAAAGAAACTCAGCGGGACTAATATTATTTCATTATCTTTTTTTATAAAGTTAAATTATAATTTACAATATTTCTATCAAGTTGAAGTAGCCGGGAGGCGATCATTTCATTCCCAAGGTGTGCCATCTTCTATAAATAACAAGATTAATCCCTCCACGACCGCGGACACGCCGGCGTGTTAGTTAACAATAGATTTCTTAGAATTTTAATTAATTTCTTAGAAATTTACCTGGAGGTGTTAATACGCTTAATTTATATACATATATAAGCAACTAAATAACTACTCATAAGTATTAATTAAATAATTAGATTATCAATACAAAATACTCCTCTTTCTCTTATTGTAATTGTTCTCCTTCAATCTTTTGTTTGCATTTAAAAATTAAAATTAGACTACGTAATCTATTGCTTGTAAATAATAGATTAATGTAGGTAGGTGTACCTAATGTTAATGGAAAAATGATAATATTTTTTACTTTTACAGAGACCTTCTTCAGGATTAGGCAAGCCTTGTCACAAAGTGGTGAAGAGCCGCGAATGTAAACCCTCGTATTGTAAAAAACTTGTTCTTAGTTTTACTAATTCCTCTGAAGAATATAATGTTAATGTTCATAGGAATACAGAATAATATTTTTTTTTAAAAACATAACAGTACTGGTCTGCCTGTTAAATATTTTTTCTATTTTCGGCATTATTTTATTTTAAAAATGTATAGATTTACAGTTGCCATTTTTGTTTGTAGAGTGAATATTTAAGGTTCAATAAAGCGCAATAAGTATTTTAATGCGGATTTCTAAGTCATAGTTGAAGCTAAAGAATATGTTAGTTACTGAAATCTGCCGGTCTTTGACTGATTGTTTTTTCATAAAACTTGTTATTCATTAGCTCTATATATGTAGCGTTTGCAAATGTTGAATATGTTCGAATTGCGGAACATTCTTTTGAAGTGAAAATTGTATATGTTGAATGTAGCATGAGCTTAGTACTCGATTGACAGCAATAATAATTAATTAAAGAAATTTTATTAATAATATTTCAGTTTCTTTTCTATTATGTCCTTTACCTTAGTTCTATCATTTATGTAATACTAGCAGAACCCACGGCCTCGCTCGCGCTAAAACTACAAAAAATCCCTAATAAGGTAGTTTCATACAAACTTTCATCCCCTATATTATCCCCTTATAGGATGTATTTCAAAAAATGCTAAAACACGTATTTATTTAATTTTATTGAAGAGTATTAATACCAAAATTCAAGTAATTCTTATCAAAAATATTTTTTTGAATTGTATTATAACGTGTTTTCCCGTGGGAAATAAATAATCTCCAGCGATAAAAAGTAGCCTATGTCACTCTCCAGCCCTCTAATTATCTCCACACAAAAAAATCACGCCAATCCGTACAAATCTGTTTCGACGTCAAAGAAGGACAAACAAACAAACAAACAAACAAACAAACAAACAGACTTTCACATTTATAATATTAGTATGGAAGTATGGATGTAGTACATACATGAGACCATATCAAAATATTTAACAAAAAGTTGTTACTTTAAGACTATTTTATTTGAAGACTATATTTACTACCAAAACAAAAACAAATCTATCCCGAGGAAACCGTACATTTTTCCGAGATAAAAAATCGATGTGTTATTCCAGACCATAATCTATCTCTGTGCCAAATTTCATCCAGATCCGTTCAGCCGTTCTGCCGTAAAAGAGTAACAAACATCCATACTCACAAACTTTCACATTTATAATATTAAAATACGGATTAGTATAGATTCTTATTACCTTACTTTTTTCATAGCGTGACATGTGGTAGGCCTCTTGGTTGGTTATTATGAATAATAAGTGGATAAGAACAAGATGTACCGTAAAATTCCTACGCTTTAGTAATTTTATTGTGTGTGCTGGTTTTGATATAGGGATTGCGGGTTCGATGCATTAATATGCATGGATGCAATAGGAGTAATTGAATGAATGATTGGAGGTAAGGATCCCTGTTGAAAAACAAAAGAAAACAAAAGAAGAAAGAAAAGCGACAAAAACCACATAGAAACCAATAAATATTTATTGGTTTCTATGTGGGTTTTGTCGCTTTTGATGGGATCCTATTGGAGTTTTTAAATAAGTGTATATTATATAAAGTATATACTAAGAGCTAAATATTTTAATGCAATAATAGGTTGCACTCGACAGGACCTACCTGCGCAAATACAAAAGGCCAAATGCATATAAGCTTTGCGCACTGTTTTTAATTTAAAAATCTCCCGAATTTAATGGGTATATTTAAATTTTTTTTCATAAATTTTCGGAAATCGAATATGGTAAATATAATAATAAATCATATATTAAAATTAAACATCTTTATTAAAATATTTTATTACAATCATAAATCAACAAAACTTTGTACATACATGAGTTATCGTTCATTTGACAAGTTAGTGAGTTGTTAAGTAAATAATATTATCAACACGGTATCTGTTACATAGCCATCTTTAGGAACATATTGGTTCACACAATACTATGGGGTAAGTTAATTTAAATTAAACTTTAAAGCTCTCAGATAAGAGAACTTTAGAACAAATATTATGTATATACATATTATTTCTAAGGCAGTCCCATATTACACAACATATACATTTAACAAACGTAAATTACTTTAGTATTTATTTTAGCTTAAACACATCTTTAAATCTAAATCTATGATATTTTAAAAGTTGTATTTAAATTAATTGGCAAGCTTAAATGAGGTTGATATTACTGGCTGGCGTACAACAGTCGTTTTAAAAGGTAACTATTTAATTTCAAATGGTTCATTATACTTACTATTGGCTATAGAGTTATAGTTATTGTAAGGTATTAGTTGTAAAGTATACGAGTAACTTAAAATTACATTTTTTGTCTTCTTTATAATACTTTTCAATTAGTTATAATTAACTAGCATTGCCCGCGGCTTCGCCCGCGTTCAGATGACCAAAAACCAAATTCTTAGGTTTTACATCTTACATGGCAGTTTTTGTATTTTTTCTCAGAAATGAGACATTTTTCCGCGGTAAAAAGTATGCTATATGTTGACCCGGACAACCAGCTATCACCATACCAAATTCCATCAAAATCCCTCCAGTGATTTTTCTGTGATGTGGTAACAGACAGACAGACAGGCAAAAATTCTAAATAATATATACGGCCTCTGTATCGATAATAATGTCTATTTCAATAAGATTATTCAAAAAATATTTATTGTACAGATTCGGCTTAGAATTTTATTATATGTATAGATTAATGTTTTTTTTGTAGACGCGTAAAAGTTTATAACAGTTGAGTTGGGTTTTTGTGTAGTGTTTTTTTTGCCTCTTATTTCTCGAAAGTTACTTAAAATTATATTTTTTCGCTGTTCATTTCTATTTAACCAGTTTGTTGCAGATGATTGTAGATATTTTACTGCTAATGTATACATTATACAATACCTTTGTTATTATAACGAGGAGCGGATGACGTGAAAGCTTATTCATTTTTTGTCCATTTCGATGGGAACATGCTTACAAAAGATATCTATTTGAAAAAACAGTCTTTATTTTACATCAAAACTTTCACCTTTATAATATCTTTCTTTACTTATAAAAATTTCTTTGGTTGTACTATTTGTGACCGGGTACGATTTAAAATAACTTAAAAATACCTAATATTTACAGGACGAAAACAATTTATGTTTATAAAAATAAAGTCTTATTAATGCTAAAAATTAAAAGCCTCACGATTATATCGTTTAAACTCATCAAAATATGCGCACAACTTTTACCCAGTTTAGGTACTATACTTACCTAAAATATATCTAATATATAAAATTTCCATGTCACAATGTTTGTTACCGTACTCCTCCGAAAAGGCTTTACCGATTTTTACCAAATTTTATATGCGTATTCAGTAGGTCTGAGAATCGGCTACTATCTATTTTCCGTACCCCTAAGTGATAAGGGTGGCCCACGTTAGGGACGAACCCGAGCGGAGGGAGGGTGAGTCGCTAGTATTATATAATACTTAAATAAGACTTAAACTAAACATTAAGCGTATTGTATTAACATCAAATACGGGTAATAGTAGGTTTTTGAGGCGCTTGACAGCAACGAGGCGCGATACATTCCTTTGCACACGGGCAGGAACAAGCCATGTTGGCAAAGTCCAATAACATTTTCTTTTCTTCTGCTGTATCTGATATCGAAATAAAATAAAATTTAAAGTTGTGATTCATTAGAATAAATAATATATGAAATTTTCTGAAAAGCGTTATTTAAAATAATCTTACCTGAAGTTGAGGAGACCATAAATTCTGGCTGTAACGTGACCAAACCAATTCCATGTTTCTTGAATACATCGCATACTAAATTGGAATTGCGTAAGTACTCCTAGAACAATAATAAAAAAAATTATAATATCTAACCACTGTGACTTTATATATTATGCTGTTGAGACTTAAGTAGGTATCTGTTACATATTATATATTATCATTTATCGTCTGTTGCACATTATATATTATTATTTATCATATAAAGCAAATTTTCACGCTATATATATATTCTTGCGAGAAGTCAAGGAAATGGAATATATATACTTCCCACAATTTTCTCCACATTTGAATTAACTTTCTAGCGCCGCCTCTTTATGGTTGACTAAAGTATTTAAACTATATAGGGATTGTATCCTTGGTATTAAAACATTCATAAGTACCTCATGGGAGCCATAACACACATGAGCAGTAGCAACGAGGCGGTCTCTATGTAGCTGCCACACATGAAGTTCATGGATGGCGAGAACGCCAGGAACGCGTAGTGCAGCCGCTCGCAAGTCACACGCACCGAGGCCTTCTGGCACCGTTTGAAGCAATACTAACCCCGCTGAACGCACTGGTAAAATAATCATGAATTTATATTCAATTTTCAAGTATATTTTTGGTGGTAAAACATATCCAATGGAATACGACATGTTTGACTCAGTTTGTAGTGACCCTACTTGCTGTGCCAGCGGTCGCGGGTTCGAGTCCTGCTGGGAACATTCATTTGTGTGATGAGCACGAATATTTGTACTCTAGTCATGGGTGTGTATATTTATAATATTTATGTATTTAAAGTTATATATGTGTAGTGTATCAACTATCTGGTATCCATAACCCAAGCCTCGTACCTTACCGCGGAACTAGATCGCGCTGTGTCTTAATGTCCCAACATATTTATTTTATTTATTTATATGGATTTTTAAATTAGCCAAGCCTAGAAACTTGGAACTAGATTACAATTTGCGTTTACTTATTTATAGGTTTAGATTCTTGCTCTTGTTGTTATTTGTGTGTTACTTTACTTTATAATAATGTGCGTCATTTTGAATTGTGAAATTAATGTGATTAAACACTTTATGTGCTAAAATCTAAATAGTGAACATATACTTGAGTATGTCATATAGATTTTACACTGTAGAAGGTACTTCGGGCGTCATTGAACCCGCCATGAACCAACTTAAGTGTTCAGTATTATTCAAGGTATGCATAACATTAATCAACAGATGAGCTGTCAAGGTAGAATTTTGTATAAAGAATACGCATAATATGTTTTTAGCCGACTTTAAAAAAAGAGGAATTCTCGACGAGTTTATTGTCATATGTGGTTGTTATATTATTATTTTCATTAATTGTTAATAGAATTTATGTTTGGTGAAAAGTCATTTTGTTTAGTTTATTATGACTTATGGGATTAGTTTAATTGGTCTAAAAAAATCATAATTTTCATCTCAAATGTTCTACTTGGTAATAAAAAATTAAATTACCTACAGCGATAACTTGATAACCTTTAAGCATCATATTCTAGGTAACGATTATCGAATAAATTAGATACTAAATACTAAAGTATCGCATTTGCATTAAGTACAATATTTACTAACATTACCTTCACATGAACAGATATCATATAAACTTATTTTATATCTTGCAGAAAATGTGTCTATTCGAATTTTATATCGTATCTAGTAGATAATTTATTTCGTAAAGTACACATAACAACTTTAAAACTAAAATTTTAAAAATAAAACTTACGGTAAAATATAATAAGAATAACATTTAAAATAAAACTTACTAAAGGGATAATTAAAGACGACGAGTATAATAGCGGCGCAGGCAGAGAGCGCCGGGTCAGCTATCCTTGCAGCCATGGGCTCCCACTCCAACGTAAGACCAGCTCCCATTACAAACAAACTACCTGTTGTATAATTACAAACATATACGAAATATACAAATTTATATTTAGTTTTGATATAGTAAATATCTTTCTTTCTTTGGAAACCTAATGATATATCACTTGTCAGCCCGTTTTCAACAAATAGTAACAAACATCCAGACATCTATACATCCATACAACCCCACAAACTTTCGCATTTATAATATTAATAGGATTATAACAATAAATGATCTTAATATCGATTAACGATTTAAATCTTTTAGCGATAAGGCCGCCTCTTGTACCTTCTTCTATATTTTGTATATTTTCATTTTTCTTTTTTCTTTTTGGGTGTACAATAAAGAGTAATTCATTCATTCATTCATTCAATAAACTCACTTGCTATGTCAGTTGGCGCATGTGCAAGTACCGGCTCCGCTGATCCAGATTTTAGTACCACTTCACCATCTGGAGTCATGCTCAAACGCCGACTGTAACTTAACTCTCGACCTAAGAGTATATAAAAATGTGTTATACTAGCCTCGACAAATAAATAATATAGATAAATATTTACATACTAGCATTGCCCGCGGCTCCGCCCGCGTTCAGATTACCAAAAATCAAATACTTAGGTTTTACATATTAGTATACTCTTACATTGCAGTTTTGTATTTTTTTTTTCAGAAATAAGATATTTACCCGCGGTAAAAAGTATTCTATATGTTGACCCGGATAACCAGCTATCATCATATCAAATTTCATCAAAATCCCTCCTGTGGTTTTTCCGTGACGCGGTATCAGACAGACAGATAGACAGACAAAAATTCTAAAAACTATAGATTCGGCGTCTGTATCGATAATAATGTCTATTTCAATAATATTTTCCATAAAATATTGAATGTACAGATTTGGCTTAGTTCCAATTTTATTATATTTATAGATTATTATATGCATATAAAATGAACAGATTTTATAGTTGACACATTGTTGCTGCGTGGAAGACTTTCTCATTGTGGTTAATAAATTTTATAGAAGTCGAACCGCAGTTTATCGCTAACATCATAAAAATAAACGTAGGTATACTAAAAGTGGTGTCGATTGTATCATTTTCATTATATAAGTATATGTATAAGTTGAATTTTATTATAGTAAAAACGTAACAAACATAGCATTAGTTGACTTTCTTTTTATTTTTTAATTTTTTTCAACTAAAGCAATGCTATAAAAGCTCGACGTTTTGCACTGTACAGTGTACAGTAATAAGAGGGTATCAAGTTTAACTAAGATGAGGTTTTTTGTACATTTCGTAAATACCCGGTTAAAACTTTACTTAGTAGCCGTTACTCGTTCTATACGACTAGGTAGGTAGATACTTTCGAAAAAATTGTTAAATAAAAAAATGCATTTTTCGTTAATACGTACCAGCGAGTAGCATATAGTTGATAGCGTGCAACAGAAGCCCAATAACGGCACATCCCAGTATCACTCTTGGGTATCGAGATGGTTGCCCATGAGAGGAATGAACACCCAGCTGAAGTGCATTTACAATGAGACCCAGTGCAAACGATGCAAACAGCACGTGCACAGACAATCGCCCGACCACCTCGATGCGGGCCCAGCCGAATGTGTTGCGCAATCGTCCCTCACGACCAGCGCCTTCATCTGCTCGTTCATACTGTTTCACAATAATTACTACTACTGAATTCAAAATAACTTTAAAATAATTATTATACAATTATAAATTAGGGATGTGAAACCGTCCGATTTTTAGGTGTAAAGTATGTATTAAAAAATCAGCTCTACATCTTTTTGATGTCGGTCAAAAATAAACACAAAATATGTATTACACTCGTATTATCATTAAACCTATATATATCTATCAATAGGAATTTTTGTACCTATTAATATTTTTAGCAAAATATTTTTACGAAAATGTCTATTTGTGTTGGCTTTAGGGTGGGTTAGTATATACGGCAGTGCTATATATTACAATAAGTGCGTAATTAACGATGTCACGGAATTTGATTTGCTTCATGTCGTCAAAATAATTACACGCGTTTTCGTATTATACAAATTATCCGCATGAAAACTGAGGTTTATTGTCAAACGAAACTGATAAATAGAACGTGCAGATGAATGTTCGATAGCTAAAGTAGCAGTCTGACTGGCAATTTGGCGGCAAGACTACGGCTTTTACACACAGAACATTGGCGGTGATCGACGCTACAGTTCTACGTTTCTGAATCGAACTGCTAAGGAGTGGAACACCCTTCCAGCATCCGTGTTTCCTGCCACCTACAATCTAAGTGCCTTCAAGGCTAGGGTGAACAGACATTTTTCCAGGCAAGCGCGCTTCAACCTAGACCTTATCAGTGCTTCCTAGCGCTGATTGTAGTCAAGCGCAAGCCTATCTTTCAATAAAAAAAAAAGTGTCCCGCCAAGTTCGCAAAACGAAACAATGTGACGACCTTGTATTATACGGAAAATTTAAATAAGTATTATAAATATAAACATATACATAATTATCTTGTGTTTGTTTGACTGACATACACCTGATATTAATAAATCTTATAAAAATAAAATATAATATATTTAATTATTTACTATTTGTATTTATATTGATTTTAAAATAGTAAAGTTTAAGTTTCAATAAACTGTAACAATCTAAATATCGGTAAAACGTTAATTTTATAATAAAAATAATTGTTTAAATAAAAACATTATTTAGAAATAAAATACCGTTGAGTTAATTAATCTTGCTACACTACGCGACAAAAGTATAACCCACCCCCCTAATTTTATAATATCTAATGTAAGACTATATTTATCATGATATATTACTATTGCAATAATATTTTTTAATTGTTTGTAGTATTATAATATGTGTTCAATTACATTTTAAGTGGTTTTCTTATATTACGGCGTGATTGTTAGTTTGATAGTGCGACAAAAGTATAACCCATAACTTACTTTGGCTTGAGCAGCTTCATGTGTTAAGACGTGTCAGTTCCTTTTTATACTTGTTCTGCGTTCTTCGTAAATTATTATGTACTAGAAAATTATTTCGATTGATATTTATTTATTTCTAATATAAAAAGCCACGTGGGAAACGTTTCAACGAAAGTGAAATTAATTTAGTTAGGAAATTGTATTCTAAAACTAAAAATTGGTCGAAAGTCAGAATTGCAAAATTTATCAATAGAAGTCATTATGTTGTGCGTAATTTTCTAAAAGATCCCGAAAATTATGGAAAAACAAAGAAGACTGGTCGACAAAGGGCAACAAACCGCCTGAAAGAAGTTCAATTCTGAGAGTCGCATCTAATTTTGCTCTTACACCAAGACAAGTGCAGTGGAGGCTGGTGTTAGCACTAATTTAAGAAATGTTCAACCTATATACTCGGGTGTTGATACCTAAAACGTAAGAAATTACAAAGAAAACGACTGGTATCTGATAAACATAAATTAGATAGATTTAAATTTGCAAAAGATCATGCTCAATGGAAGAAGAATTGGAAAAAAGTTATTTTCACTGATGAAAAGAAGTTTAATTTAGATGAGCCTGATTTTTTTTAATTACTATTTTCACGATTTAAGATAAGAAAAATGTGTATTGATTTGACGATAAGCCGGGGGTGGTAATGTAATGATATGGTGTGGAATTGGACACTTAGGAAAAATGAATATCAAGTTCTGTACTGGAAAATTGAATAGTAAACGGTTCATAAACATAATAAATGAAGAGATTACTTCTCATGTAATGCGAATTGCTGGTCCTTATTTTATATTTCAGCACGATAATGTCAGTATTCATCGTGCACAAATAGTTAAAAACTATTTTACTGAAACAAATATTCAAGTTCTTGAATGGCCAGCTTATTTTCCTGGCTTAAATAAAATTGTAAATTATTGGGGAAACTTATTACCAGCTGTCTATTGAGGATCAAAACAATTTACCACTGTTGAAGAGTTAAAAACGGTAATAATTGACGAATGGCAAAACATGAATCAAAACCAATGAAAAATTAGTTATATGACAGTTTACCAGATAGAATGATTCAAGTAATAAGTAAAAGTAGTGGATCTTCTAAATGTTGATCGAAGTATTAAATATTAATTTAAATAAATAATTGCTCTTTGTTGCATTTCTCTTGAGATTTATTTATATTTAATTTACCTGGGTTATACTTTTGTCGCACCACAAAACTTATATATCATGTGTATTTGGTTAATTTTGCATTTAACAAATAATACATTGGTTGTAAAATATACTTACCAATACCTAATTTTGTGTATTATTAATGCATTAATATATAACTATAATTTTATATTGGATATTACAAAATTAGGGGGGTGGGTTATACTTTTGTCGCGGAGTGTAAGTTAATTAATCGCATAAACAAACAAATCAAGTCATAAAATTAGTTTTTTTTTTCATTTTGTCGTGAACAATAATTATAATCAAATTATAATATTACTAGCATTGCCCGCGGCTCCGCCCGCGTTCAGATGACCAAAAACCAAATTCTTAGCTTTTACAGATTAGTATTCTCTTACATTGCAGTTTTTGCATTTTTTCTCAGAAATGAGATAATTTCCCGCGGCAAAAAGTATCCTATATGTTGACCCGGATAACCAGCCATCACCATACCAAATTTCATTAAAATCCCTCCAGTGGTTTTTCTGTGATGCGGTAACAGACAGACAGACAGACAGACAAAATTCTAAAAACTATAGATTCGGCCTGTGTATCGATAATAATGTCTATTTCAATAAGATTTTCCAAAAAATATTTTATGTACAGATTTATCTTAGTTACAATTTTATTATATGTATAGATATGCGTTCTATACCATACTACATCTAACATCACTTTACCAACAAATAATATGTAAAATATAAGGATTGTATGTAAAATACCTAAGATGATTACGGAAATAAACAGTGTTATTAGCTGTGTACTTTTAGAGTGAAAATTAATCATATGAATATAGCCAAAATGGACTCTAGCGATGTGCGTTCTAATAACTTTACAGGTAATGTTTGGAAAATCTTCTTTCATCTCACCTAAACAAAACTAAAAATAAATAACATTCCATATTCAATTAAAATTATAAAATAGTTTAAAGTTAAAAAATATTGTAAGATACTTTGGTGCCATTTTTCAATTTTTTAAATTCATTTTGTTATTTGTGGTTAGGCTTAAGGCTATCTATAACAACTATACAATACTTTCGAGACATCTAATACCTTAGTATCTCCCGTAACCGTGATTGCTGTAAAGCATTCGAAACGTCGGGGACCAAAAATCAAAATAAATCCGCGAAAATTCCTAAAAGATAGTTTTATTTAAAATGTCAAATATTAGTGTAAATCTAAGTAAGTATTAAATAAAAGTTAATAATATGTTTAATTATCTACCTTATATGCTAATAGCGTAGTGATAAGGCCAACTAGACGGCATAGAGTGTGGCAAGTGTCCACAAGTAGCGTCGGCGAGTGTGTTACGTGAGCAGCAAACAGACGCCCGCTGAAGCCTGCAATCGCGATGAGTAGAGCTACTAGCGACCGTGGAGGAGGAAGCCATTGCAGCCACTCCTTCATTGCCATGGCTGCTTATTACTGGATCTGTATAAATTACATTATTATTAATATTTAAATTTGCTACACTTACTATTCTAATTGTCGAAAGATAACTTCATCTTTAATATTATTGATAAACAGCAATATAATTTAATTTATAATTTTAGTTTTATTGTTTATGTATCATTAAATCATAGTGGGATCATTATTAGATATGTCTAACTGCGAAAACGAAGAACATGAATAAATCAAGGAGATAAAATAAAGTGGAGAAAAATGGAAAATTAGAAACGCTAAATGAAGTTCCATGACATAGGATATATGTATATTGTATATGTTCCATGAGGTAATAAAATGATAAGTAGAAATAAGCGACTGTTTCTTGTGTAGTATGAGAATGTATTTACGTAAGTATAAAGAGGAGCACAATGAAATATAATTACACTAGCATTGCCCGCGGCTCCGCCCGCGTTCAGATGACCAAAAACCAAATTCTTAGGTTTTACATATTAGTATACTATTACAATGCAGTTTTTGTATTTTTTCTCAGAAATGAGATATTTTCCCGCTGCAAAAAGTATCCGCGGGCATATAAGCGGGCAATGCTAGTACATATATAATATGTACATAGTATTTGCGCTGTCAACAACTAAAACGCTCGTATTGGATGTCGAATTCGTTAAACGGAAATCTCAATTTAACGAAATAAAAAACGAAAATTATAATATATATAATTAACATGGGCTGTCAAAGCACGCGGAGCCACAGGTGGCTTGGTTACCAATTAATTTTTAGAGTTTAACCACGAAGTGTTAATATATTATGAATGTTAAGAAAGTATCTTATAATGCACGTCGTACATATAGTCTCCTGCAGTCGTTCAACAACAACTACTGTGCGAACCATTGTAATTGAAAGCGGGAAGTGTGTGGGGAGCATCAATGAGATAATCCATTGATTGCTGTCTCTTGTATTTAATGCTCGTATAGAATGTAGACTGTATTGAAATATAAAAGCAGAATTGGCGAAGTCACTTTTGTTCTTTGTTGTTCAAAAAGTATGTTCAATTTTTTCATTATTGATATGTTATACTAAAAAAAATGACCTAAAATGTGAATAATATGTCTATTACACCGTCTACACTTCACCTGCCCTTAATAATTTTTCGATTTTTTTATTATATCTTTTACTTTGTCATTTATTATTGTTTTAGTGCATTAATTTAAATACGACAACATTCACGTAAATGCATGAAAAATAACGTTGTACTCTACAACACTCCTACGAGTATGACAAATGTTAAATGTTAAGACAAATATGACACAACTATGACAAGAATTTGTTTAAATATGTACAGACGTTAAATAACAATACTATATGTGTGACTAGAATATTATATTTACCAATTTATATTTGTACAATTAATATTGTATTTAGCTTGAAGCGTAGCTTATTATATGATAATACCCAAATATATTTTATGGAAGTTCTTGAAACTTCTTAGAGATTAACTACACTAATATCATTCACAATATAATACGTGTCCCTGGCTCACCATATCTATATATATAAAAATGAATCCCTATTTCCCTTGGTCACGCCATCACGCGTGAACGGCTGGACCGATTTAACTATTTTTTTGTTGTGTTCGTTATTGTGTGTCAGGAGACGGTTCTTATGAAAGAAAAAATTAAAAAAATTTGCGCGGAAAATTATAAAATTTAAGAATACTTATTTAAGAATAGAATAATAAGTAAATTAGTAATAAAAAAAAAAATTAAATGGGTAACGCTGGCTAATAACTATTTATATCTATTTAAAACGTACCTAGCCACCAACCCTAGCGAAGCGAGGATGAGTCGCTAATATATATATATACACACACATATATATATATATATATATATATATATATATATATATATATATATATATATATATATATATATATATATATATATATATATATATAAATTTAGATATTACAGTAATATGTTGCCAAAAAGCTCTTGATGTGTTCCAAATTCCGTTTAAGAGTTTCATCATTTTCCTTTTGCAGAAGATCTATTTAGTTCAAGTAGCAATCGAAAGTTGTTATCGAGTATAGATCATCTAACGGTTGCTTTCCAAAAACGGCAAAGCCTGTTTGAGTGCGAGATGACTTTGATTTAGAAGTATGCAGTATAACTATTTAGTATATTATTAATTGCTTTTATGCGAGATTAATTATTATTATAATCTTTTTATTCAAAACTTAGTTAACTTTTAACAATATAATAATAATAATAATATATCTCAGTAGGTATTTCTAAACAAAATATAGCCTAGTGTCTTGTCTGCTAACTAATACCTAATTGAAAAGTATTTATACTGAGATATTCATAGCGAGCATGTCATTGTTTATCATAGGTTTTTCTTGACGCTTATTAAATAAAATTGAATATTTTTTTATATTATTTTCGTACTCGAGTAATGTGAGGGTAAGAAGCTAGTCTATACATATAATAAAATTGTAACTAAGTCGAATCTGTACATTAAATATTTTTTGGAAAATCTTATTGAAATAGACATTATTATCGATACAGAGTCCGAATCTATAGTTTTTAGAATTTTTGTCTGTCTGTCTGTTACCGCATCACAGAAAAACCACTGGAAGGATTTTGGTGAAATTTGGTATGGTGATAGCTTATCCGGGTCAACATATAGGATACTTTTTACCGCGGGAAAATATCTGATTTCGGAGAAAAAATACAAAAACTGTAATGTAAGAGTATACTAATATGTAAAACCTAAGAATTTGGTTTTCGATCTGAACGCGGGCGGAGCGGCGGGCAATGCTAGTAATAAATAAAATTGCTTAAGTGTGGATTTACGAATCTTAAAGTGTAGAACTTTTTAGAGTCATTTTAGTCATGCCCGTCTATCTCTATTTGGAAATAGAGCTTCAATATACTCACAATAACTGTGAAATAAAAATTTATATGTATTTTTTTCAGATATAAATATAATATTTTTGGTTATACCATACCTCTATGTACCTATGTGGTACTAAACAGTACAAGTGACCAAGTTTTACTAAAACAACAACTATTTGAAGTAAGACGAGATAAAAGTTAGGTAATGTAATTTACTATTCATTTTCAGGTAATATTACTCAAAAATTGATAACATTTCAAAAATAATACACAATTTATAACAAACTTGTTTATTAATTAATGTACAAAATTTTGAAGTAAGTACGTAAGTTATAAAAAAAGGACATCATTTGAGTAAGGCACGAAATAAATCATGTAGACATCGTTTTTAACCGACTTTCAGGAGGAGGTTCTCAATTCGCGGATTCTTTTTTTATGTATGTTAACCGATTACTTGAAGACGCCTGAACCGATTTGGAATTTTTTTTTCTTGTTTCAAAGGGTTTACTTCCCAAGTGGTCCCATTTAAATTTTATAGAAATCGGTCGAGTGGTTTTTAAAAAATCAACCATAAATATTTTTTTTAAATAAATTGCTTAATCGAATATGTTATTAAAAAAATTTCTTCTTACAAATTACCTGCTTATTACATCTACACTAAAAATGGAAAAATAAAAACTAAAAAAAATCGACTTCTAGGCACTAAAATGTAAAAAATAACTAAACGGGGGTTTTCATTTAGAATATATAGATACCTAATCAGATATTTTCGAAGTTAGTGCCAGCCGACAATATTTTAAGATATGACTATCTAATAGGTAAATATGATTTACCTAGTTAAAATATTATACATCAATTTGTGATGTACTTTACGTATCGAAATAATATTATTAGATTTGCTTTTCATCGGCTGGCACCGACTTAAAAAATATATTATATAGGTATCTATTCTAAATGAAAATCCCTGTTTAGTTATTTTTTACATTTTAGTGCCTGGAATACGGTTTTTTTAGGTTTTTATATTGATTGTTATTGAAATACTAGTATGGTGTGCAATTTATTTTAAATTGTATGTGGTTTCTGATTGAATAATTTTTGTTCGAGACATAATATAAAAGTAAAATTGAACGCAATTCGAGGAAGTCTGCATTCAGGCAATATCCTGCGATGTATCCAATATATTGTACCTTAGAAGAGAAGGTAGAAATGACATAAAGTATTAAAAAATCTAGACTGTGATTCAATAAATAGTACATTCCAACTGATAAAAATTAATAAATATTGATTTACAAATCAAATCAAAATATTTTATTCAGCATTAAATTATTACAATTTTTTACTGAACGTCATGAGTCTACTACCAGTTCGGAAAGAAGAAGCCTCAGACCTAAGAAGAACTGGCGAAAGAAACTCAGCGGGACCAATATTCAATTATCTTTTACCTATCAAATACTTTAAATTAGGTGAAATCCATATTAATATTATAAATGTGAAAATATGTTTGTTTGTTTGTCTTTCTTTCACGTCGAAATGGCTTGGCAGATTGGTGTGATTTTTTTGTGGAGATAGTTGGAGGGCTGGAGAGTGACATAGGTTACTTTTTACCGCGGGAGATTATCTCCTTCCCACGGGAAAACACGTTATAATACAATTCAAAAAAATATTTATGATCAGAATTACTTGAAACTTGGTATAAATGCTCTTCAATACAATTAATTAAATACGTGTTTTAGCATTTTCCGAAATTCATCACATAACGGGGTAAAATAGCGGATGAAAGTTTGTATGAAACTGACCATTTTAAAGATTTTTGTAGTTTTAACGCGAGCGATTCTGCTAGTAATAAAAATATATATTTTTAACAAGAACTCAATATATTTATTTTTTATTTATTTATATTTTAACCAATAAAATTGAATTAAAATAGAAGGGTGTTATAAGTTAACATGTGTATCTGTGTGTCTGTCTGTGGCATCGTAGCGCCCAAATAGCGAGAGTGTTCTAAGCTATAAATTGAGAAAATCCGTTATATTATATGTATTAGCTCTTTTCTATACGGTAAAAGAACATGAACAACTTCCACAGATCTAATGCATTCGAAACTTAGCATTC